TGCACATACTTAAAGTTGACTTCTCAGGGAGAAAATGACCCAAAATAGACTAACTCTAAAATCAAGTTTTTGGTGATAAGCTTGGGCACACATTCCTACTCACTATGAGAAAAGACCATGTAAGAGACATCTTAGAGGCTGGTGATCACAATACAAAAAATATTAATTAAACACTAATGAAATTGAATACACAAACTACTCTGCAAAAGTCATATTTAAGCATTTTTTTGGTGGGAAACCAAACACAGACCTCATGAACGACAATGGATATTAACACTGAGCTACAGATCCAGTCTAAAACCTTTCTGAAATGTTAAAAATGATCATATAAAAAGGCCATATATTTTATTTTCCTAATAATTGTGAAGTACCAATCCATTGAATCAAATAAAAATGATTATTTATCAATCACCTACTATATGCATTTCTGCTTTTATGCAGTAACTTTGGGGGAGGTGCACATCTGTTAATGCTGGGGAATCAAAATCTGATCAGCTGTGTCCAAGGCAAGTGCCTTACTACTGTTTCAAACCTCCAGCCTGTGCATTTTTTTTTATTCTTCAGTGCTAAGGATATATTCACACTACTGAGAAGAAATATACTCTGGATAACTGTTAAAAATAGAAAATACATGTGCCAGAGCAATAGTAGAGTGGGTAGTATGCTTGCCTTGCACAGAGCCACCTGGGTTGGATTCCCAGTGTGTAATCTCTAGAGTCCCTTCACCCGGGAACCATGGGTTTATTTCATAAACTACTTTAAAGCAGGACCAGAGTTGGTCTTCAGAAATGCAGTGTTCTGAGCCCCCTGTTACTTTACTGCAGGAGAGATACTGAATCAAATCCATAAATTGCTTGGCCTGTTTAGTCTGGCTAGAGAAAGACTGAGAGATCCGGGAAGGCCCAGAATCTGTCTCATTTTAGTGGGGGATTGTTGCTAGGATTATAACTCCCAGCACCCTAAAAAATCTTGTTCTCCCACTCACTTTCTAGAGTGGGGGTACACCAAACGCTGTTCTTACCTTTAGTTTGTAGTTCGTGCCCACCCAGGGATGCCAGCTGTATAATCTCATCAACGCAGAGCTGTGTAAACGCCTTAGCTCGGGTGAAGCTGTGAGTGATTACACATTAAAGGATGTTCACGGGCTCTCTGGAAGGCTCACTCTCACCGCCCACGTTTGGTACTCTCGAACTGCTTCCCCACATGGGATGGCCATTGCAATGGGCCGACGAAGGAGGAATGAGGGCCAAGCTGGTTGGTGATTAGTTGCAATTTATTCCATCCCTCATCTCTCCCAAACTCTCTCTCTCCCTAACTCGTTCCCGAACTCTCCCTGCAGCCCACAACTCTGGCTCTCAGCTCTCTCCAACTCCTCTCTGACTCCCCACTCTGGCTCTGCCTCTCTCTCCAACCCACTCTCTAACTCTCCACTCTCTGGCTTCCTCCACCATTTCAACCACCTCTTCTCTAACCATGCCTCCCAAACCACACCTCCCCCAGGGAAGCACAATCAACATGTTTATCAAGCCTTCCTGACCACCTACAGCCCAATAGGGCAAAATAGGACTTAAGGTGTGTTTCTCCTCTCCTTACACCAGTAACTTAATCAACATCTTAATTCTAGTTCCTAATATTTGCCATTCTGTGTGGACAGAGTTTCCCTCCCCGTCCTGAGCAGAGCTCTGGCAGCTGAAGACCTCCGGAACCCAGCCACAGCCGTGCTCAAGACTACCCTCCACATGCTCAGACGAGCCTCACGCATGAAGAAACCGGCAGAGGAACCCAGGTGTGCGGGACCCGGGGCTGAGATCTCCAAGCCTGCTCGGTTCCCGACTGGGCCTCCTCCACCCAGATCCCCCATCTTCCAGTAGCTAGAAGTTACACCCACCAAACTGCCCCTGGTGCCATGTAATCCTATCAATGGCCAAGACCCAGAGACTCTAAAACCAAGTTCCCTGAAGCGCATGGCTACATTCTCGGCCACTCGACCTCTATTTTTTTAAATTTTTTAAAAAATTTTATTAGTGAAACACCATGAGGTACAGTAGTAGACTTACAACTTTTTGTGCTTGGGTTTCAGTTATACAATGATCGAGTACCCATCCCTCCACCAGTGCCCATTCTCCCCCACCAATGATCCCAGTTTCCTTCCCACCCTGCATCTCCCATGCCATCCCAACTCTATGGTAGGGCATTCCCTTTTGTTTTCTCTCTCCTTTTGGGTGCTGAGGTTTGCAAAAGAGGCACTGAGTGGCAATCATGTTCGGTCTATAGTCTACTTTCAGCATGCATCTCCTATCCTGGAAGGATCCTCCCAACACCCTTAACTTGGTGCTTCCTTCTCTATCTACTGCCTTTTCCTCTAGCAGGTGCGGCTAGCCTTCAAGTAATGGAGTGAACCTCCTGGTACTTCTTATTGTCTAGTTCTCATGCTTGGAGAACCCGGCAGGCTACCGAGAGTATCCTGCCCACACGGAAGAGTCTGGGAAGCTCCCTATGACATATTCAATATGCCAAAACCCACTAACAGTGATGGGTCTCATTCCCCTGACCCTGAAAGAGCCTCCAATATGGCACTTGCTAAAATCTCAGGGCTAGGATGAATGGAGATATTAGTGGTGTCTGCTCAAGGAAATCGATGAACAACAGGATGACAATGATACAGTGACAGTGATGAACACAGTAATAGACACATTTAGTCTTGTAGGGTGACTCTCCTGGAGACATCTCACCACAGACTCAGACTACAGTGCTCATGCCAGATTAATCATTCCTAACCCTAGCAGGGTCTGAATCTAGTTACTAATTTTTGGATGATGACAGAATTTGCCCATGACCATGCTCTTAACTTACAGTTAAGTATTAACTATTATGTTAAGTATTAAGTTAAGTATTAAGTATTATGTCACTGTGCCTATTTCAATGCCAGGGCAGTTCACATCTTGCCCTGGATCCATCCAGTACTTTGTCGGGACCCGGCTTTGGGGGATCTAGGAAGTAAGGGCAACTGAGCTTAAATCGAGAGAGAAGATGTCCAGGAGGTAATACTAGCTGGAGTCAATTAACTCCCAAGTTACAGGCTTGTCTTTTTTAACTATCTTCCTGTGTTCATACAAAAAGTAATTGCCCTGAAATAATTAGCCATGCAAAGGATATTAAGGAGAAGAGAAAAACAATATAAGTCAGCGGATTCTGCTCAGGAGACAAAGGTAACTGACAGGTTGGGGAAGCAATCAATAATCCCAAGCTCCCTGCGGTCAGGGAGAAAGGCAAACCAATGTTATCCTACACACCATCATCCCATATGGTTCCATATGGTTTCCCAAAAGCACCTCAAGGAGCAATTGCTGAGCACAGACCCACGAGTAACCCCTGAGTATTACCGGGTATGACCCCAACACCAATAAAAAAGAAAATCACAACCAGCCTATAACATCTTCCCTTCACAGAATCAAATTGACACCATTAACATGCATACTGATGGCTACCATACTACCAGAATCTCTTTGATATTCTGATTTTCAATCTTCTGTTAAAACTATAATTTTAAGTTCTCATCTTCCAGTTACTAGTCAAAGAACATAGGCCTCATTGCCTGCTAGGTCTCAGGTCACTTTGCTATGAAACCATTGATGAACTGACCCTGTCAAGCTACGGAATGTCTGGAAGGCAGATCCATAAGGTTCCTAGCTTAATGTGAATCTGCACCAATCGCGTGGTCCAATGTTTGATACTGAAAATATGGGTGTGGGATCCTGTTTATCCCATCACTCTCCTACCCTTTAGCTAGTTCTCCCTCTCCTCTGTTTCTAAACCTTGGCATTAAGAAATTTTGGAACATTGTACGAGATACTTACCCCAATGACAAGTTACTTACCCCAATAATCCAATTTTGTCACAGAAAATAGCAACGTAATTTTTCCTAAATACTTCAAGATATTAATTTGATTATTCAAGTTATAAAATAAAGGCTGCCAAGCTTGTCCTGGTCAGGCACAGTCTTAACAGTCTCTGTAAAATAGCAGGTAGAAGTCTATGCTTCCTGACATCTGAATTATCTACAATTTAGAAAACTCCTTAAAAGTATTTCTACTAATAAAAAGTATCTGTAACCTTAAGAGCAAAAGCTTTTGCAGAAGTATTTCAAAAACTTAAAAAGTATTTCCAAAAATTTTAAAAGATAAAATTGGTTTTATTTTTTATTTTAAAATTGGTTAATATTCTTACTTTTTTTTTAAAAAAAAAGTGTAAATAAACTCAATACTGTAGCAGTGTCCTTCCATTGTTCATCAATTTGCTCCAGCGGGCACCAGTAACGGCTCCATTGTGAGACTTGTTACTATTTTTGGCAAATCAAATACCCCACCAGGAGCTTGCCAGGCTCCACCATGCAGGCAAGCTCTTGGTAGCTTGTCGGGCTCTCTGAGAGGGACAGAGGAATGGAACTGGGTAGGCCGCCTCAAGGCAAACGCCCTACTTGCTGTGCTATCGGCTCCAGCCAAAACTCAATGCAAGGCAAACAAATCTTATGGAAAATTTCCATTGCATCTGCGGATACATGATGCACCCTCATTCATTATACTTTCTATACACACACACGCCTCAAATCCACCAACTATCAATTCTGCTTCCTCTAACGATCATCTCCAATCACTTCGAATTATGTAAATGCCATTTTCAGTGATTTTGAATGCGAACATGTGTGAGCTTGCCAGCCCTATCCTACAGAGCGCTTGACAACGAGAGCTTCGGCTCGGCCGGTTGCGTAGCAACAGCGTCCCGCCCTCAGCCCCAGGGCCGCGAGCTCGCGCTCTTCCGGCGGCCGGAGACCGGCGCCGCGCGGGCGGAACAGAGGTGGCGGCCCCCGTGAGGGCGCGGAGGGCGCTGTTTCCGAGGCACCGGGGGCGGTGCCGGCCCGCGCGATTGGCTGCGGAGCCGGAAGCGCGCCTGCCGGTGGTCCGGCGCGGACGGCGCTTGGGGAGTTGCGGCGTCCCGAGGAGCCACGCGGTCTTGAGGAGCGGCTGCGTCCCGAGGAGCCGCGCGCCGGTCCCGCTCTGAGGAGCCGCCATGGAGCCGGGTCCCGGCGCGCGCGCGGGTAGCGCGCTCTTCGCGGGCTTCCGGGCCCTGGGGCTCTTCAGCGGTCCCGTGCCGCACGCCGTGCGCTTTAGCGCGCTCCGCCGCCGCTTCTACGTGACGAGCTGCGTGGGCCGGAGCTTCCACACGTACGACGTGAGTGCGCGTGCGGGGCCGCCGAGCGGCGGGACGCGTCCAGGGACCGTGCTGTCCCCGTGCCCGGGCGAAGGGGAGCCCTTGTCCACGGTGCCCGCTGCGCCGGAGGCGGCGGCCCTGTGTTTCAAATGGGCGGTGAGGTGCTGGGGTGACAGCACGGTGGGAGGGCGTTTGCCTGGCACGCGGCGACCGGGGTTGGATCTCCTCCATCCCATCGGGTCCCCCGAGCACCGCCAGGAGTCAGCCCAGAGCATCGCTGGGTGTGATCCAAAAAGAAAATAAATGAATAAACAAATAAAAAGATGGTGAAACAAACCCAGATGTGCTTTTTACGACATGCCAAGCCCAGATCATGAAGTTTTCGATGCTCAGGGGTTACTCCTGGCTCATGCACTCAGGAATTGCTCCTGGCGGTGCTCGGGGCACCCTATGGGATGCTGGGAATCGAACCTGTGTTGGCCATGTTGGCTGCGTGCAAGGCAAACGCCCTACCCGCTGTGCTATCGCTCCAGCCCCCAGATCATGACGTCTATTGGAACTCGGCTTGCACCGTTTGCTTACATTAGAATACGGTATCTGTCCGGACTCTGGTGTGCAGGTGTCCAGTGGCTGCGAAAAGGAAGACAGATAGGCTTATAGGGGTCTAAAATATTTGCTATGTTATAGACTACTTTACTGTGATGATTAAATATAGCTATGCTCCTGAGAGAATAGTTGGAAATACAGACTCTTCTGGTGGTGTGAATTATACTTAGTGTCCTTTTCTGAAAGCTCAGCATAGCAGATTGACATGTATGAGGGTATGTTAATCTTCAAATAGTAGCTACTGTACCTAACGAAACTTTAATCTTTTTTTTTTTTTAAACAGGTCCAGAAACTTAGTCTGGTTGCAGTAAGTAAGTGTGGACTTTATTTTGAATTTATTCTTTAGTTTCAAAAGTGCAGGACAGATTCTGGTATTGGATTCAGTAACCCGTTTAATCCTCTTTTATTTGGAGTCGTTCTTCAGACTTCATGTCGCACGGTGCTGAGCCTTTTAAAGAGTATAAGGGCTAGTTCCTGGCGGGGTGGGGGGACATGGGCGCCCCTGCCCACACCCCAGCGCTTGGGGCTCTCCCGGACCCTATTCCCTGGGGTGCTTGGGGACCTGCCACCTGTTGGCATTTATTCATGCATGGTTTTGTGGTGCAGGGAGTGTACCTAGAGTCTCATTCATACAGAGGGTCTGTTCTACCACTGAGCCACATTTCCAGCCTTTTATTTATGTGTGTTTTTTTTTAAATTTGTTTTGTTTTGTTTCTGAGCAGTGCTTGTGCTAACTGTTACCTGGCTCAGTGCTTAGGTGTCACTCTTGGCAGGGATCATGGTACCCTATGGGGTGTAGGGATCGAACCTGGTTAGTCACATGCAAAGCAAGTGTCCATCTGCTGCACTGCCCCTCTGGCCCCATATCCAGCCTTTAAAACAGATTAATAGGATTAAAGGGAACTATAAGGTATCTAGTATGTATTAAACTTACGTATCTTAAGACTGTGGAGGGTAGAGGCATCCTTCTGTAACCTAAAGTGAATGATTAACTAGTTTTAAGAAATGAAATCCCAGAATGGAACATGCAGCATGCTACAGTCCTGTTGTCTAAGTCTGCTGTTCTTAGAGGCGGAACTGTACAGAAAGTGCCAGTGTGACCCTAGTAGCCCGAGGGATCAGGAAGCTGATGTCCTGAAAGAAGTAGCTACAGCTTATAGGCAGAATCACCTTGAGGAGACCAAATAGAAGCGAGGTTTATTTTAAGGGTCAGCAGGTGATATCATAAGGAGGGTTCCTGTGCCCCCCCCACCCCCCAGGTGAATCCAGGTTTTGACTTAACTAAAATTTTTTTCTTGGATTTATTAGTGAACTAGCTGTTTCTGGAAGCAGTCCTGTGAATGCTGGGTTGCTGAATGGCCATTTATTCAGGTTCTGTTTGCCAGATAACTCCCCCACACCCCCCAATAAGCTCAAAAAGCTTCATTTTTTCCCTTTATTTGTGTTTCTATGCCTGCAAGTACATGCGTCTAAAATATTAGACATATTCTCTTAGAAGAGGTTTAATAGTCTTAACGTGAAAGTTACATCTAACATTTATGTCTAAAATGGCAAAAGAAGTTGAAATTTCATTTCACATGTATGTACCTATGAAGTTTTGTGTGTGTGGTTGAGGTTTTATGTTCCCAAATCTTAATGTATTTCTTTCACTTCATATTTCTTTTTTCCTAGGTAACTCCGTTCCACAGGATATCTGCTGTTTAGCAGCTGATGGGAAGCTAGTCTTTGCTGCTTATGGGAATGTTTTCTCTGCATTTGCCCGTAATAAAGAGGTTTGCATCACTGAATTATTTTAACTTTTTTTTTATACTGGTAGTTTTGATTGTTATTATAATGGAAGGAAAGTTAATGTTGTCATTTTTAAGGGCCTGTGTGTATATATGTATATATAAGTGCACCCATACACAGCCATATTCTGTTTTCTGTAAGAGAGATTCATTTTATGGAATTATCAAAATTAGGTAAAGCTGATAACTTCATTCAGTTTTATTTACCAGGGACAGATCATTCAGGTCCAGTCTCTACACCTATCTATACATATTTGGTGAGGTAGAATTTAGTCATTTGTATACTTGAAAATTTACAAATAGAATTTGTATATATATGTATATATTTGATAATAGACTGTATGTTTGAAAAAAGTATTTATTTATTCTTGTTCTTGAGCCACACTTGATTCTGCTTGGTGTTTTACCCCTGGCTTTGCACTCAGGGATCACTTCTGACAGTGCTTAGCGGGGAACCAACCATATGGGATTCTGGGGATTGAACCTGGGTTGGCAGCATGCAAAAAATTACCATACTTGCATTACTATCACTCTGGCCCAGTTGGTATGTTTTAAAAGTCCTTTCCTGGTAGATTCAAATATCTATCACTGTTTTATGTGAATTGGCTTTTTCATTGAGAATGATTTAGCTCATGATTTCTTTTTCTAAGAACTAATTCAAGTATATGAAAACTAAATTCTGTTTTCTCCATTCTTTTTCTCTTTTCTTTTTCTTTCTTTTGCGGGGCATGGGGGAGAGAGGGGTTGGACCACACCAGGCAGTGCTCAGAGCTTGATCCCTGGCTCAGGAACCGTATGGGCTGCCAGGGATCGAACCCAGGTAAAAATCAGTGGTGTAAACGTTTGCTTAATTTACTGTATTAATCTAGCACTGGCCAACCTGAGTGATAAATTCGTCTGAACTTAAACTCATGGTGATACTGAGAAAGTAGGTATTTGGAGAGCAGTAACAAGAAACACTTCCTAATCTCATGACATGCTGTTCAGTCATTCATCCAAATGATCAGATGTGTAAAGGGCTGTTGAGAATGGTCAAGAATCCAAATCATGGGGCCGGAGAGACAGTACAGCAGGTAGGGCGCATGACTGTCAAACCAGGTTCTATACCAGTATTCTAACCTGTATTCCCTAAGAACCACCAGGAGTCAACTTGAGCACAGCCAGATGTGGCCCTACCTGCCTGCCACTACCACCAAACAGAACTGAAGTCAAGTCATCCCTTCGTTCCTTTGTGAACATTTGTACGTCTAGTAGAAATGCAGACGTATATGCCAGCGTTCTCTAGAGCAGTGTTTTTAGACTTTTTTAATACCTACCAATGAGTACAGGGCCATGACGAGTGGGCAATAAGAAACTATAACTTTGATGGATGAGCAAGAAAATTCTGCAGCTTTACGCTGGTCTGATAGACTGGTGGTCAAAAATCAAGGCAGTGTGCCACCCGGGATGCTTAGAAAAATTATCAAGGTTTGCCTTGGCAATAATAAACTTGTTCCCAGAGTTTACCGCCACCACTATCTGGAGCAAGGGAAGGCAGATTACTTGTGGAGTTCACTTCAGAGTCAGGGAAAAGAATTACTTGTTTTTGCAGAATTGCTCTGTGTGATTTTCCCTGGAATGTGTGTAAAGCACTGATGGGGAACATTGGAGACTTAGTTAAGGTGCTCTGCTGTCACTCTCAGGGCTAATGAGACAAGGAGAAGAAAGAGTGTTACTGTAACCTGTTGAGAACTGCAACCAGAGAGAAATGACTGAGTTATGGAGGAATTTGAGTTACTGTAACCGTTAATTGTCAAAACAAAGATCAGAGGAAAAAAGAAGCCTGGGCTTGTAGAGTTGCATCCACATTCTGGTTCTGAACATGCAGCTTTTCTGGAGTGTAGAGAGAGTGCTGGTCGAGTGAAGGACAGTGGTTTGCTGAGCTTCAAGTTTTATTAGTGTGTACCTGTCCAAGCATTTCCTTTCCTTATCATTGGGTTGTTTGAGGAAGCAGAGGGCAGAAGGAAGTGCCTGCTTTCTTGCTGCTGGATGATCAGCTGTTGGACATGCCACCGTGAACATCTATAGACACGTGTGTCTTGTGAATATCAACACTGTGATGAGCAATAACATGCAATCTTTTTGACCTTCTTTGTTGTAGATCGTACACACCTACAAAGGTCATAAAACGGAAATTCATCTTTTGCAACCTTTTGGGGATCATGTCATCTCTGTTGATATTGACAGTGTTCTTATTATTTGGCATGTATATTCAGAAGGTAAGAATGAACTCACTGCTTTATCTATGTGCAGTTAAATGAAAGCCTATATAAAGTTTTCTGTAGACATTGTGTATATAATCAATTAGGAACAAGTTAAAGAGGGAGAAATAGTATAGCAGGGAGGGCACTTGCCTTGCATGTAGCCAATGCAGGTTCGATCCCTAGCATCCTGCATGGTCTATGAGCCCTGAATTCAGAGCCAGGAGTAAACCCTGAGCACTGCCAAGTGTGGCTTCAAACCAAAACAACCAACCAAAAAATTTAAAAAAACCCAAATAGACTATGTTTCTTTATATCCCAAATATGAGATCATTCTGTGTCCCTCTCCTGACTTAACTTTTCTCAAGGGGATACCTTCTAGATCATCTGTGTAGCAACAAATTGCAAGACTTCATCTTTTCTCGTAGCCTAGTAATATTCCATCATGTGTATGTGCCATAGTTTCTTTATCCAGTCATCTGTACTTGAACAGTTGGATAATTTCCAGATCTTGGCTATTGTGAATAATGCTGTGATGAACACGAGTGCAGATGTCTTTTTCTGTACTGAATTTATTTGTCTTGGGTAATTGCCAAGAAGTGGAATTCCTGGTTCATAGGGAAGTTCGGTTCCTAGTTTTCGGAGGAATGTTCATATTCCCCTTTTCCCCATTTCTGTGTCAGTACTGCTTGTTTTTGCTCATTGAAATGTGTGCCTGCCTGTCTCTGGAGTGAGGTTTTGATTTTCAAAGTCATGTAGATAAGCCATGTAGGTCATTTTCATATGCCTTTTGGCCATTTCTATGTCTTCTTTGAGGAAACTCATTTCTGTACACCTTCACACCCCCATTTTGATGGGTTGGTTGTTTTATTTATAAAGTTCTACCAATGTTTTATATGTCTTGGATTGGGAAAATACTCACTTCCACTCTGTGAAGTTTCATTTCTTTTGTGATGCAGAAGCTTCTTAGTTTCAGATAATCCCATTTCTTTATCTTTGTGCCTGTTTGCTTGGCCAGTGGTGTTGAGTACATTGAAGATACCGCTTGCTTTCTTGTCATGTAAAGTTCTGCTTACATTTTCCTCTATACAATCTATGGATTTGGGTGTGATTATTTAGGTCTTTAGTGTGTGGTATTAGATGGGTTCTGCATAAATTTTTTTGCATATGATCAGTTTTGGTAAAGGTAAAGGCCCTCCCGTTGATCGTCGATTTGCTCGAGCGGGCCCAGTAACGTCTCCATTGGAGACTTTGTTGTTACTGTGTTTGGCATATCGAATACTCTCGGTAGCTTGCCGGGCTCTCCGAGAGGGGCAGAGGAATCGAACTCGGGTCGGCCATGTTGGCTGCTTGTAAGGCAAACGCCCTACCCGCTGTGCGATCAGTTTTGAGTAGGGCGTTTGTCTTGCACGCAGCCAACATGGCTGACCCAAGTTCGGTTCCTCCGCCCGTCTCAGAGAGCCCGGCAAGCTACTGAGAGTATCTCACCCGCCTGTCAAGAGAGTATCTCGCCCGCCTGGCATACTCCCCATGACGTATTCAATTTGCCAAACACAGTAACAACCAAGTCTCACAATGGAGACGTTACTGGGCCCGCTCGAGAAAATCGATGAACAATGGGAGGACAGTGACCAGTTTTCCTGAACCATTTGCTGAAGTCTTTACTTGGTCTACTTATATTTTTTGTTCCTTTATCAAAAATTACTGTCTGTATACCTGAGAATCCATCTCTAGGCTTTGAATTCTCTTGCATTGGTCTGATAATCTCTCCTTACTCTAGTACCACACTGTTTCAGTTACTACAGTTTAATAGTATAATTTGAAGTGGGGAAAGAGAAACTTCTCATTATCTTTTATGTTAGGATAGCTTTGGTTGTGCTGGGGGATTTATTAGTCTGTATGAATTTCAGGAGCATCTGCTTTTTTGAATGTCCTGAGTATTTTTATAGGGAACTGCATTGAGTCTTTATAGTGTGGTGGGCAAGATTGTCATTTTGACCATGTTGATTCTTCCCATCCATGAACAGGGAATGTGTTTCCATTTCCTTATGTCCTCTTGTACTTTATAGTAGTGATTCATAGTTAACATTTGTGTAAGTTTATCACCCCTTTTGTTAAGTTGATTCCCATGCTCTTAATTTTCTAAGGAACAGCTATGAATTTTTTTTTTTAATATTCCTCTCCCTCCATTTCGTTATCTGCATTTTACAAAGCTCTGGATTTAGTAGCCTGCCACTTTACCATCTGTTCACTGTTTCTTAGATCTTCTTCATAGTCTTTAGGGTTTTCTAGGTATACTATTATGTCTTCTGCAAATAGTGAGAGTTTGGATTTGGATACCCTTAATAAATCTTTATTGCCTAATTGCTGTTCCAGGGACTTCCAGTCCACACCATCGCATGAATAGGAGTGGCGAGCCTGGGCAGCCTTGACTTGGTCCTGATCTCAGTGGGAAGACTTTCAGTTTTTCTCCATGGAGTAGTGAACTTACTGTGGACTTGGGTTAGATGACTTAAACATGTTGAGGAAAGTTCCTTCATCTCCCATTTTTTTGAGTTTTTATCAGAGCTGGGTGTTGGATCTTATTAAGTGCTTTCCCTGCATCTTTAGTACATAAATCTTACATGGTAAATTTACTTTACGTGCTATATATGTGATATTAAAATATTTTAAGCCGTTTAAAATAACGTTACGTTATTTATGATTTTTCTTATATAGAGGAATACCTGCAGTTGACTTTTGATAAATCAGTATTTAAAATTTCTGCAATTTTGCATCCAAGTACCTACTTGAATAAAATACTTCTCGGCAGTGAACAAGGAAGCCTGCAGTTGTGGAATGTAAAATCCAAGTAAGCACTTCAGAAGTGGCTCCTATTTTACTTTCATTTATTGCTCCTTATTTAAGACTCAGTTCCCCTACTCTTGATTTCCTCTAGTAGGGAGTAGTATTGTTCCCTTGACTGTCACCCTGCCTTGGGTTTCTCCCTCAGGATCTCACCTGTGAAACTGGCACCTGGTCCTGCCACACTGTAGGCACCTTCGGGAATGCCAGTGGCAATGTGTCTGCTGGTGGCCTCATTAACGCCAAGAATTCACAAAGCTGTAGGGCAGCTCTTGTGAAGTAATATGAGAAAGTAATTAGTGAAACTATCACTAGGCAATTTTTCGTTTTCATAGAAAAATAAAAAAAGTGAAGCAAAATCTGTGAATTTGTGTTAGCTCTTAGAAATGGTAGTTTTGTACCACCAGCATGTGGACATCTACTGCAATATGATTGACACAGCTGCAAGACAAGTTACATTGTTTTGAATACTCCTGCCTGTTACTTGAACATTTAAAGGGAAAAAGTTAATTTAGGTTTCTTTGTAACATTAAAAAACCTTAGGTCATGTAAACTCTTCTACTGGCCTCACTTCAGAGACCCATAAATAAATCTCAAAAGAGATAAAAAGCCACAGTTAATGTCAGATCCCTGCAAGGCTGAACAGACTGAGACACACTAGAGGGGGTGGGTTATCCCAGTGCCCACCCAAACAGCCCCCAGCAGCTGCTTGCTCCCACAATCTAAAATCTCCACAGTGCCCTTGGCCGGACTCCTCTGTCTCAGGATGAACTTCTTACAAATCTGAAAATTCAGGCATGCAGGTTTTGTGACTGCAATCTCCAGACTTTCTCAAGGTTGGGGTGGGCTACCTACCCCCCACTTCCCTGTACTTCTGGAAGCCCCAGCAGTCACATTCACACTCCAAAGCCGCCACCCACTTAAGCTACACTAGCTGTACCTTCCTAATAAAAAATACTGAACCCCTGAACAAGCATGACCTCTTAGTACCTATATTGAAAACCACAATGAACAAAAGGAAGAGAGAGAAAGAAATAGAGGCAGGTAGGTGGGGTGGGATGGTAGGGGGGTGGTGGAAGGGAAACTGGGGACATGGGTGGTAGGAAATATACACTGATAGAGGGACAGGTGTTGGAACATTGTATGACTGAAACCCAGCCATTAATAGCTTTGTGATGGTCTATCTCATGGCGATTCGATTTAAAGGGGTTGGGGGGGAACGGGGGATAGTAGAGTTGGGAGGGCACTTGCCTTGCTTTCGGCCAACCTGTGTGCAGTTCAGGCACCACTTACAGCTCCCTGTGCACCCCAGGAGACATGGCTTAGAGGTCTGCAATACACTTTGTTATAAAATTTTACTATGGGCTTTTTTTCTCTACAATTTCCTTTTGATGGGGAAGGGAGAACATGCATGTAAGGGTGCTGGGGAGCCTCTCTTGGTAAGGTGCTCGGGGAACTGTGCAGTGCTAGATACCTGGCACCAGGTACAGAATCTGTTTCAACCCTTTGAGCTTTCTTCTTTTACCCTTCTTTTCACTTCTAAAAGAAATAATGGTTTCGGGTATGGAATTAGTCTTTCAAGGCCCTATTACCTGTTAGTCATGTGATTCTTCCCACCCCCCCCACCCCCCCGGAAAGTAGTCATCATTGAAAAATAAACTACAGCAGCAAGTTTCATATTGGGTACAGTAAGATCTAAATGATTAATCTTTAACTTAGCTACTGGAGATTGAAGTCTTAAAGTTGTTCCTGCACTCTGTCCTGGTTGCAGAGAAAGAGTACAGAGCCTTGATGCAGCTCACCCAGGTTACATCCCAGCACTACAAATGGGCCATTCAAATAAAAGAGGATGGGCCTTCCTGCAGGGCAGGGGCTTGGCCCATCCCCATCCCAGAAAGCTCCAGAGACGCCCGCTCAGAGACTAGATCTACCTGGAATGGTGGCATCTCTCTTGTTGTTTTACCTCCGAAGTTGCACTTGATTTTGTGTTGTTCCTTCCAAAAGTAGCATTCAACTCTTCTTTTTCTTGCAGTAAACTTCTCTATACATTTCCAGGATGGAAAGTTGGAGTGACAGCTCTTCAGCAGGTGAGTGTTTTTTCCTCTAAGTTCATAAGAGCATCTTTGTGTTAAAGAAAAATAATACATGGTTTACGCTGAGTCTAATATAAAATATCATTAAATTCTCTTGACTAGGATTCTCTGGATCTCCAGAGAATCCTATATTCTATAATATATAATCCTATATATTCCCAGAATATGGTGTCTGGGAAATATACCTAAAAATGAATATCATCTTTGCTGTAAATATTTGTAGATTCGTTTTAGCCTGGGCTCTAGCCCTGTCATTTCTCGAGGTGAGAGGCCAGTGTTGCCATCGTACGGGTAGCAAGTATCTCAGTGCCTGGAGCAGAATGGAAATAAGTTCAGGTGAATCCAAGGAGACTGTCATCAATCTGAGAAATTTGTGTATGGACACATAGGCCAACGGACACTTTCTGAGTAAAAATCCATCGCTTGGAACTCTTCGGTTCTTCCTCATCCTCTTCAGCCCTCTTTGCTTGTGTCTACCCAGAGAATCCAAATGTAGCAGAAGCTTAGGTCCTTGTGAGCAAGGGCGCATACTGTTCTCTGATCACCAGCTTCTGTATCGGCTTCTAATTTTCAGAAAGCTAAGTGATGGCAGATTGATAGAATGTAAAACTTGATTCCATTCTTTAATAGCACTGGACATTGATCTTACTGTCTTACTGTTCAAAAAATAGATGTGATGTGTGCAAAATTGTGTGAAAATTGTATAAAGTGAGGATTAAGATCCTAGAATATCAGAACTGTAATAAATCCTTGTGAAAGTGAGACCAGCTCAGTGCTCAGGAGTAGGTTCACAAGTGCTCAGTGGCCCACATGGTGCTGGGTGCTGGTCGCAGACCTCTCAGCATGAAGCATGCACTCAGCCCTTCAAGCTCTCTCTGTGGCCATACTTGTCAACTTTTTTTTTTTACAGATTTTAGCATTTTCTACAGATTTTTTCTATTTTCTTTATATAATCCTTCCTTTGTAGTTGACTTGTTACATTGCTGTACAATAACTGTATTTTTGAGAATTACCTCTTTTTCTGTCCTCTTGCAAACAGAGGTCTATCGATGAGATTCCTTTCGCTTGCTATTTCTTCCTACATCAGCTATACCTTAGAATAGGGAGGTGGCTGCCAGACTTGAATATGGGAAGTAAATTAAAGAAATAATTTCTCCGGATTCTTATGCTAGAGAGCAATTAAAGTTGCCATAATGATAAAACTTAGTTGCTCTTTTGCCAGTTGGGGTGATATTCCATTACCTCTTGGTTAGTGCATACGTCATATTAGGATCATTGAAATAATTTTGACTAAGGAAACTAAAAGTTGAGTGGCTTTATTTTAGGCCCCAGCTGTGGATGTTGTTGCTGTGGGCCTTCTCTCGGGTCAGGTCATCATTCACAACATCAAGTTTGATGAGACGTTAATGAAGTTTCGTCAGGACTGGGGACCTATCACTTCCATTTCTTTTCGTACAGGTAACTTCTGACTTATATCTGGGAGTTAAGGACACTGAGAATTCATTCTGAAGGTCATAAACATGTTTCTAATCGTACATCAAAAGGATAGAAAAAGAAGTAATACAGATGGGGGCTGAAAGGATTGTATCAGGGTTAAGACCCATCCTTTACATGAGCTTCACCCAACACTACCACCCCTGTGCCATCCTTCCAGCCCCCTATACTGCGTGGCCCTAGGTTGAACCCTGGCACCACATGACCCAAGTACATCGCTAGGTACGGCCCTGAAGGCCCCAGCACTGGCGGGGTGGATGGGCCAGTAATTCATGGCCGTATCCTGAGCACTATCTAAAACACTGTGGGCTCTGTGGGCCCTTTTGTTGAACCTGCTGGCCAGGGTGCTAAAAGGGCCCCTCAAAATCAAAGAAAATAGGGGTAGCTAACTGGGTATATAGTTTTTTCTAATTTTATAATTAATTTTATAATTAAGGGGGTAGAAAGGATTGTCATGTCTAGTTGTTTGTAATTGCATGTTCTTTTTACTGATTTTTTTGTTTTGTATTGTTTTTGTTTTTAATAACAGATGGCCACCCAATCATGGCAGCTGGAAGCCCGTGTGGCCATATTGGACTCTGGGATCTTGAGGACAAAAAGTTAATCAATCAGATGAGAAATGCACATTCTACAGCAATTGCCGGACTGACATTTCTGCATAGGGAACCACTTCTTGTCACAAATGGCGCTGACAATGCTCTTAGGGTATTGATATTGCTATACCATTTCCTGGCTCCTCTTACCTGTCCTGTAGGTTATTGCACACATGCTGTAGTGCATCAGTCTGGACCCACAACATCATCAGAGGTGAAAGATCTGGAGGTGTATTACAGTGCATGAGAAGGAGCTGTAGCTTCTCTTCCCCCAGAACTCCACCCATGGCCAAGCGATTTAGCAGTAGGTGGCTTGACTTCTTGTAGGTCACTTAGCACTTCGCCCTGTTATTTCTTGGCAGGTTTGGATCTTTGATGGTCCCACTGGTGAAGGCAGACTTTTGAGATTCAGAATGGGACATAGTGCTTCTCTTACCAAAATCAGGTATTATGGACAAAATGGACAACAGATTCTTAGCGCAAGTAAGTGCTTCAGACATGAAGGTTTATCTAGCAAGTATTGAAAGCAGGAAACTTCATATTTAATACCATTTTTATATGTATTTAGTTCCAGATGTTTTTTCCAGAGATTATCTGGGTAAGAAACAATTCTTTTTGAGTGCTTCAGGAAATATTGTATGTGATATTATTATCACAAGTAGGGCGTTGGCCTTGCAAGTGGCTGATCTCGGCGACCCGGGTTTGATTCCTCCACCCTTCTCAGAGAGCCGGCAAACTACCGAGAGTATTTCGCCCACACGGCAAAGCCTGGCAAGCTACCCGTGATGGATTCGATATACCAAACACAGTAACAAGTCTCACAATGGAGAAGTTATTGGGCCCGCTCGAGCAAATTGATGAACAGCGGGAGGACAGTGACAGATTATTATCTTTATTTGAAGGGACATTCTGAGTATCCTCAGACTGCTCAAATTCTGAAAATGTATTTTTTTTTCTTAATCATCTAAGAATTATGATTGCTACACATCCTCTTTTGTTTGCTAAAGGGCATTCTGTACACAGTTCTGACTGTGAGGAAGCATGGAGTTGCCTCCAGCTCTCCATTGAAACTGCAGGGAATTTGGCTTCAAGATAGTTCTAGTTTTATAAGACCTTTACCCAAATGGCCCATTGTTTTGATTATGCTTGATTGAGAATCTGTATGTCAACAGGTCAAGATGGAACTCTGCAATCATTTTCCACAGTGCATGAAAAATTTAACAAGAGTTTGGGACATGGTAAGTCATTTTCAAAATCTTGGAAGATGTTATAAAATAAAAAGTTTATTTCTATTTTTTAAGCAAGTGTTCTATTTATGCATTTTATGCTTAGAATTGAATTTAAGTTCAGTTTTAAATCCTTATTCTTCTTGTACTTAAATCAGAGAGATTTGTTATCTTTGAGAATCTCCACACTTAGAAATATAGTCAGAGAGGTTATCTTTTATGTTCTTGAACATTTTTTGGTTTGTTTTTCTCCTTTTGGTCCTCTATTCTCATTGACTCATCAGATTGTGATGTTTTGTCTTTTGACCCTGTGGCGCTGGGTGTTAGATCCAGTCCTCCTGCAGGTAAAATGTATTCTTAGCCCTTGAACTCTTTTTGCCATACTGTTTGATCTCCTGAATATAAATCACTAATTCTTTTTTGGCTCATATTGAGAATTTAATTTAGTTCACTATGTTTTTGGCTGAAATATTACATGGCATTAAAATAAAACATACTGCCATGATATTATTCCAGTAACCGTATCAAATACTGCTGCATTGTAGAACTTTGGCCAGTATGGTTAGTTGTATTAGTCCTTGATGAGGGGCAGACCCAGCTGTGGGTGGGCTCAGCTCTGTGGTCTGCAGTGCTTGGCGCTTGGGGCTGTGGTGCTGGAGGCCAGTCGGATCTGGCGGTGCCAGTGTGGGCTGAGTGGGGTTCAAGTCGGGCTCCTCACTGTTCAGAGTGTTCTTCACGGTTTGGAGCCATGGCTCTGAAACTATGGTCACAGAAACATTTCTCTGTCTTTTTGCTCATGTGACTTTATGATTATATTATTTGCAGAAATGGTTACTTTTACTCTTAAAAATTATTTATATAATTTGTTTCCTTACTGCTTTATGAGCCATAGCATCATCTTTATTTTACTCCTGATTTAAATGGGAATATCTTAAAATTCAGTACTTAGTTTTGAGACAGTCAGTACTTTGTTTCATGAAGTTCCTTCATTAAAAATAATTCATGGCTATATTCTTCTCTGCCTTATCCCAGGGTTAATAAATAAAAAGAGAGTCAAGCGTAAAGGTCTTCAGAACACCCTGTCAGTGAGACTGCCACCCATCACGAAGTTTGCTGCAGGTCAGTAACTGCTGTGTCTTGGAAAGTGTGTCCTTTCTTTCTTCCTGTACATATCTTTAATTCCTCCATTTTAGTCAAATACCAGTCATCAGAGAAGTAACCTCAGGTGTATGCTGAATCAGTTATAAATGTGAACTTGTTATTTGTTTTTCTATGGCAGAAGAACAATCTATGGCAGCTTTGTTTGTTTTTAAGTAACTTTAATATCTTGCTGGCAGTGATGCCTGTGTCACCCTAGTGTTGATAGTACTGAAGATAGTACTGAAGTAATGGAAGATTAGATGCTTAACAAATTATTTGTGAATGAGTAGGAAAATAGGAAACTATTTGATTCATGATTTTAATTGTTTTAGAGGAAGCTCGTGAGAATGACTGGGATGGTATCATTGCTTGCCATCAGGGTAAGCTGTCTTGCTCAACCTGGAACTACCAAAGATCGACAATAGGCAGTTACTTTCTGAAGCCAAAGGATCTGAAGAAAGATGATATAACTGCGACAGTAAGTGGTTTTCTATACAGTTTTTCCTAGCAAGCTGTCATAAAAGGACTGAAGAGATGGTCAAAGGGGCTAGTTACGGTGCTTACCCCACATGTGACCAACCCCCCATTTGATCCTGGGCACTTCATATAGTTCCCCCACTCACTGCCAGAAGTAATTCCTGTACACTGCCATTTTGTGGGCTTGTCATTCTTGGATTTGTTATTGGTCGCACTGCTTAAAGGAACCCAGTTTAGGTACAGCATGGAGCTCAGCCTTGCATGTTGAGAGTAAGTTCTTCCTTGATAGTGTGTCACTGTCACTGTTCACTGTCCTCTCGATGTTCATCAATTTGCTCAAGCGGGCCCAGTAATGTCTCCATTGTGACACTTGTTCCTGTGTTTGGCATATCGAATATGCCACGGGTACTTTGCCAAGGCTTTGCTGTGTGGGCGAGATAATCTCAGTAGCTTGCCGGGCTCTCCTAGAGGAGCAGAGGAATCGAACCTGGGTCGGCTGAGTTGGCCGCGTGCAAGGCAAATGCCCTACCCGCTGTTCTATTGCTCCAGCCCTGATAGTGTGAAGTTTTCTAAATTGCAGAGAATTATTTTAGGTTTAAGTTTTACTTAATTAAATGTAATGTATTTGTTATTTTAACTAGTATAGGATTATTCAGAATAGCCTTTGAATATGATTTAAGTGTTTACATTGTTTTTACCTAAATGTATGTTATGTGTACAATATTCAGTTTCTTTGACTCCAATGGTTTCTTCCTCTTTTTTGCTTTTTTTCCGTTCCCCCCCCCCCCAACAGGAGTAATATTTAGCTAAGTCTATAAGTTATAGACTTATTTATATCTTTAATTTCATGTTTTGTCTGTACTGGTAAATGCTTTTTAGGAAATGAAGAGATAGTACAGTGGGTAGGGCACTTGGCTTGCATGTGGCAATCTGGCATCCCATCTGGTCTCCTGTGCACTGCCAAGAGGGATTCCTGAGTGCAGAACAAGAAGTAACCCCTAAGCATTGCTGAAACAAACAAAAAACCTCAATAGCAACAAGAAAAAAGAAGAAATGCTTTTTAGAGATATACTGATGGAGTTTTTCTGCAGTCTTTTGAAAAATAGGTATTATAAATAAGGCTTTTATTTTTTAAAATTGTTGGTTTTATGGCTACACCCAGCTATGCTGAGGCTTACTCCTGTCCTCGCTCGGTAATCACTCTTGGAGTTGCTTGGACCATATCTGTTGCCAAGGATTGGATCAAGGTTCGCCACATGCACAAGGCAAGTGCATTAGCCCCTGTGGCCTAAATACAGCTTTTAAAATGTCAGTGTTCCTTATGCATTCTCAGTATTTTCATGTGTTTTTAATTTTAATTTTTGTTAGTATGTATGTAATCTATTGGACCCAGTATGTAAGATACATGGAAATGTCAAATTTGATTTCCCAATTTGTCACTTTACCACAAAAATCATTGTGTACATTTATTGGTTTTTATTATCAGCAGAATAACATCCACATCGCCTCAAAAAGAAACTTTGTACTTTGTACTCATTTTCTCACCTTCTTCTGTTGTTCCTGTTCTTAATTGCTCTTTGGCTGTGCAGATTTTCCTAATCTGGGCAGTTCATGAAAATTGCATTATGCAGTATATGGTTCCTGTAACTGATTTCATGCTCAGAGTGGTGCTTTCAGGGGCCTATACATGCTCTGTCAGGTATCAGTAACTGTTGAGGATGCACCACGTTTTATTGTGCCGTTGATTTTTTGATAGACATTTGAGGCAGTTCTGCATTACTGCTCTAAGAAATGCTGTGTCACACTGTGAGTATAGTGACACTAAATTTAATCTTATAGTGACACTGAGTGTAGTGTCTAAGATTTTATGTGAACACGTGTTATATTTATATATCAAGTTTAGGCCTCAGTGAAATTTTAAGATCATAAGTATAGTTCGCTGCAGTTTCCATACGTTCTTGCTAACATTTGTGCTGAGGAAATAATACTTCATTGTGGCTCTTGTTAGTATTTCCCCAACAATTTAATGATGGTAAGCATCAGTTCCTGTGTTTATTGACTTTTTGGAGAAGTATATGTCTTTCGAGTGAAATTCCTGCTCAAGTCTCTCTTCTGTTGTTAATGAATTGAGTACCTCTTTATGTAATCTGGGTGTAATTCCCTAATCTAATTTGGCCTTTGCAGCTATGTCTCCAGTTCTATGCATTATCTTTTTGGTTTTTGTAGTGTCATTTGCAGTATGACTTTCAATTTTTATGAAGCCCAACCTGTCGTACCAATTCTCTTCCATTGTTGTGTGTCTGCCTGTATGCTAGTATCACAGTTTTGATGATGGTATCTTTGTAGTGTCGGCCATGGTGACTGTGTGCAAGGCAAATGCCTTACCCGCTGTGCTATTGCTCTAGCGGTAGGGCGTTTGCCTTGCACACAGCCACCATGGCCGACCCGAGTTCGATTCCTCTGCCCCTCTCGGAGAGCCTGGCAAGCTACCGAGAGTATCTCGCCTGTACGGCAGAGCCTGGCAAGCTCCCTGTGACGTATTCGATATGCCAGACACAGTAACAACAAAGTCTCCAATGGAGACGTTACTGGGCCCGCTCGAGCAAATCTTTGTAGTAAATTTTGAAATCAGGGAAGTTGACTCTGTGTCCCTTATATTTCTTATGGATTTTAGAATAAGCCAGTTTTTGGTAAATAAGTAGCTAGGATTTTGTTGATTTTTGTAGTTCAGTTGAGGAGTGGTACTATCTTAATAATATTATTCTGATTTATAAACATAGGATATTTTTCAGTTTATTTACACCTTACATTTGTCAGCAGTGTTTTATGGTTTCCAGTATGCACATTTTATACTTTATTTTAAATATTCTTAATACTTTATTCTTTCTAAGGTGTTATAAATAGTATTCTTAATTTTATTTTTATTGTTCACTGCCAGTGTATCAGGTGATTGTTGTTTGTGTTGTATCTTGAGGTTGCACAAGTTTTTCTTAATGTCAGGTTTTTGTGGTTTTTCTAAAAGCTACTTTCAAAAATACTTATTAAAAGCTTTAAACTACAAATATAATCTTGTTTATTTGTACAAACAGCTATGCAAATGGGTGTGTTTTATTCCGCAGAGTATGGAATACAGTCTTAAGCTTTAATACTCTTTCCTAAACTATGGCAATTCTATCTCATAAATTTATCAGTTTGGTTTTGATTAGCTGCTGTAGTAGTGGTGGTAGTAATTACAGAAAACATCTTTTTTTCCTTTGTTCTTGGCTTTGCACATATTACATTATATTTCCTTACAACAATCTATTACTATATCTTTTTGATGGACAATAAAACAGAATTTACTTCCATAAAAATGCATTCCATTCCTGAGGCCAATAAAGGGTATGATGGAAGATTTGGATATGAATCTCAGACCGCCTGAGACCACCAGGCTGAGCTAACAATGCAGGGATAAAACAGTATGGACGATTCTCCAAAAATTAGAAATTGAGCTCCCATTTGACCCAGCAATACCACTCCTGGGAATATATCCCAGAGAGGCAAAAAAAAGTATAGTCGAAGTGACATCTGCACTTGTTTGTTCATTGCAGCACTTTTTATAATAGCCAGTATCTGGAAAAAACCTGAGTGCCCGAGAACAGATGACTGGTTAAAGAAACAGATGACTGGTTAAAGAAACTTTGGTAAATCTACACAATGGAATACTGTGTAGCTGTTAGAAAAGATGAAGTCATGAAATTTATATACAAGTGGTACTACATGGAAAATATCATGCTAAGCAAAATGAGTCAGAAAGAGAGGGACAGACATAGAAAGATTGCATTCATCTGGGGAACATAAAGTAACAAAATAAGAGACTAACACCCAAGAATAGCCAAGATTAGTACCAGGAGGTTTATTCCATGGCTTGGAGGCCAGCCACACATGCTAAGGGAAAAGGCAGCTCAGATAGAGAAGGGAGCACCAAATAAAGAGTGTTGGGAGGATCCTCCCAGGATGGGAGAAGCATGCTGAAAGTAGACTATAGACCAAACATGATGGCCACTCAATGCCTCTTTTGCAAACCACAGCACCCAAACGGAGAGAGAAAAAACAAAAGGGAATGCCTTGCCACAGAGGCAGTGTAGGTTGGGGGGGATGGGTGGTGGGAGGGATACTGGGATCCGTGGTGGTTGAAAAATGGGCACTGGTGGAGGGATGGGCATTTGATCGTTGTATAATTGAAACCCAAGCACAAAAATTTGTAAGTCTGCAACTGTACCTCATGGTGTTTCACTAATAAAAATTTTAAATATATATATATATATATCCATGTTTAAAAAAATAACAATGCAGGGATCACTGATTCTAAACTGACTTAGTCATTTGTCTCATTCTTGGAACAAATCTAGTAACCGATAAGTAATAGACTTATCAGAGAGCCTGTGTGTTCATATATGATATATTATTCAAAGATACCCTTAGCTTATTCATTTTAGCTTTGTGTACAGTATCTTCAAGTATTAGAATGAATAAATTAGAAAAGGAGATGACTAGGAAAGAACCCACTTGAAGCAGTTAATTCCATTGAAATAAATGACAAGTTGTAAAAGTATAGCAAGGACCAAAGGACTTCTGTGCGGGTTCTGGTCAGGTATCACTGTTAGATCTGGAGATGACAGCCATAGAGCACAGCTTCAGCACTTATGAATCACTCAAATATCTAAGTTGTTATTTGTGCTATACTTAGAACACTGGGTGCTTTTAAAGATTTGTCTATGGTTTTCTGCCTATTTTGTAAGGTATATAGTATAATTATTATAAATGGAACATACTGATAGGAATGCTATGTGATAATATATACATATATTATCTTTTGACTCACATAATAGGTGTTACTGTACTTTACTGTAGGTATTTGGGATAAGTTAGGCATCCATTTATGCTAAAATTCAGTAATTTGGAATTTCTCTGGTCTTGACCCAGTCTCATGTTTTTAATATAGGAAAGAAGACATCTTATTAATACTGATAATTTAGCTGTTAAAATAGTTTACTTTGGATTTGGTGTTGGAAAGATGTGCATAAAAAACCTTTATTTAATAGTATTGTAAAGCACAGAATCAGTAAAAAAAATTGGAAGAAATTAAGTATGCTTTTATAGAAACTGCTTCTAAATAGGTATTTATTATGCATTGTGTTATGTAATATGACAAAAATGTCAGGCCTTGAATTTGACATTGTAGCTAACGGTAATTTTTTAGTTTTTTAATGAGTTACAAGTAAGGCAAAGAGAGATTGGGCAATTGAATACTTTGACTCTGGTACTATTCTAAACAATAAGTTGAAGACCAGTTTAAATTGTACTATATTTCAGAACGTGGTCATATTTTATTGTCTAGAATAATACTTTTAATGCTTCTTTGAGGATGGACTTGGAATCTAGCAAATAGTTTATGCTTGCATTAATTGCATTATGTTTAGGAACACTATAGTGATATTTATGATGCTCTTCAAAAATATAAACTTTACTTATGTAAAATTTGATAACACTTTGAAAACAAAAAATGCAATAAAACATTGTGTCATTTGTGTTTCTATTGTGATGTTCCCCCCCATAAGGCAGTAGATGTAACTTCGTGTGGGAACTTTGCCGTGATTGGCCTATCGTCAGGAGCAGTAGATGTTTACAACATGCAATCTGGCATACATCGAGGAAGTCTGGGCAAGGAGCAAGGTATTGAGTGGGTTTTTCCTTTATTTTAAGGGTACAGATAGTTAGATATGCGGCTCACACTGTCACTGGTACTTCTTAAATACTTGTGTGCAAGGCATTTGCTGAAGTTATAGATTATTATCAAATCTTTATTTCAGATGTGTCAGATTGTACCTTTTTGTAGGCATCATATCGAAGTATTCAGAGAATAAAGTCATGTATAAATTAAGGGAAAGTGAATATTATACAAATTAAAACTTGCTTCTCTTTAAGCAGAAAATTTCAACGTTTTCTTTAACCACTGTCGTATATGATGAATTCATCTTTTTTCTTTTGGGTGGGAGATTCGTTTTAGGACTATACCTGGGGTGCTCGAGGTCTGCTTCCAGTTCAGTGCTTAGGATTTACTACTGGCACTGCCCGGGCAGCATTGTGTGCCAGGGATCAAACCCCCACCTTCTCCTAGCTCTCGCTCTGGTCGAGGAGTTTCTTTTTCCCTGGCAATGTAGTAGTCTCCCTACCTCTTAAACTCCAGAGTAGGTTCCAGAGATTAGGGTATAGCGGTTGAGTTTTGGTACTTGAGTGAGGTGTCACTAGCCCTGATTTTCTGTTGCGGACATGCTCTAAAGCCCACAGAGGGTCTGTCCGAGGCGTTGCAGTGGATGGATTGAACCAGATGGTAATTTCGGCTGGTAGTGAAGGATTACTCAAATTCTGGAACTTCAAAACCAAAAATTTAATCCAGTCACTGAATCTTGATTCATCTCCAAATATGCTGCTGCTGCACAGGGACAGGTAAGATTTTTCTGATCATGGTAAACTGTTTTCTTAATGTTTTTGGTTAAAGTGTTGCATTGTGTCCCCACATAATTGTAAGTGGGGACAATGAGTTTTAATGTTACAGGACTTTACCTAATTTCCTCAGACATACACTTGGTTAAGACCATTGGAGCCATGTGTAAATCCTTCACATGGGAGGAGCTGTGTAAACGCCATTGCTTGGGGGATTACACATGAACAGACATTCGTGGGCTCTCTGGGCAGCTCTCTCGCCACCTGCATTTGGTGCTCTCCATTTGCTTCCCCACCTAAATGGTCGCTGCCTTGAATGGACAAAGGAAGAATGAGGGTGAAGCTGGTTGCTGATTAGTTGCCATTTATTCAGTCTCTTGTCTTTCCCCAGCTCTATCCACCCCTCTCTGTAACTCGCTCTACAGAATTTGTCCATGCCCAAGCTCTTATAGTTAAGCATTATGGCAGTTTGGCCAGCCCCATTTTGATGCCAGGGTAGCTAGCTCACTGCTTGCCCTGGGTCCATCTAGTCCCTCATCGGGACCCTGCTTTTGGGGATCTAGGAAGTAAGGGCAACTGAGGCTTAAGTCGAGAGAGCAGATGTCCAGGAGGTAATATTATTATCTGGAGTCAGTCAACTTCCAAACCACAGGCTTGTCTTTTTAACTGTCTTGTATCCATACAAAAAGCAATTGCTCTGAAATAGGTAACCATGAGCAGGACAGTAAGGAGAAGAGAAAGACAATATTTACAAGTCAGAGTCTGATCAGGAGACAAAGGTAATTGACAGGTTGGGGGGCAGTCAACAAACGCAAGCTCCCAGTAGCCAGGGAGGAAGGGCAAACCAACATTATCCTACAGAGCTACAAAGATTTTAATTTAAAGTTTGTTTATTAATACTCATGTTTTTGCTTTTCAGTGGCATTCTGGGACTTGCCTTAGATGATTTCTCCATTATTGTCCTGGACATAGAGACTAGGAAGATTGTAAGAGAGTTTTCAGGACATCAAGGCCAAATAAATGACATGGTAAAACAAATCTGCTCTTGAAACAAAACTTGAATAATTTTTTCTCTTAATTGGGTTAAATATTAAATATATTAAAATAATTGAAAATATTAGGCATTTAAATAATCTCAAGTAATTCAATTTTCACATAATTGTGAATGTTAAAACATAAAACTTGTGAGAAAATGCTATATAAAATATACATTTTCAAAGTAATAATTTGAACACAGATTTTTCAAAGAAGTGATGCTTTTCCTTTAAACTTCAGAAATAAAGGCAATTTGCTGTTTCTCAGGGAGTTACTGCTATCTGATTGAAGTGTAAATCCCAGACTTTATCTTTTTTCCTCTTAATGCTAAAACAAAATCAGGGAATAAATGTTTGATTTAAACATAACTGTATTAATTGAATTACTATTAAAGTAGTCTGGGGGAATTAACTTCTAGCTAATATATCTTAGGTAACAAAACTAACAAAACTTTTAGCTTACTATCTTATATTGGGCTGTTCGATACATTAAGAAATAAAGCAGTTTTTTTTTTAAATTTCAGATTGATCAGTTGAAAACTGTAGAGTATACCATTTTGCAATGTTTTCTATAAAAATAGAAAAAAATTATCTTAACTACTTGTGGTAGCCCAAGCAGCAACATTTGATTATTAGCTCTCACATCAAAAATCAGGGCTTCCAATGCATAATAACCGTTTCCTTGAAAATTAGGGGGAATGTGGTCGGAAACCGTTGGTGTGCAGAGGAGAGGTTGGCCGGGTTCCCTGCCGGCAGCATCTCCAGGCAGGAGGCTGGGAGTGGTCTGTCTCTGAGGAAATGACGTTTTCTGCAATGTTTTGAAGTGCTTGCCTGTTCTTGATATTTCTCTTCAAGCTCTTTATTCTACATATGCCTCAACTTTCTCACACGATAATAAATTCCTACAGTTGACTTAAATCTATTGTTTACAACACAGTTTTCCCCTTGGACTTGCTTTTCCCAGCTTTTACCTATCCTCAACTATCTTCCAGTATCTGAGTATGCAGATCTACTTATAATAGCGACAGTGCGCTTCTGTAGCAGTCTGATGAACACATTTGCTGATGTGCATTGTCTCAGTCGGTTCCGTTCAGTCTCCTGTATACACAGTCTACTTAAAGCTCAAACAGAACCCCTGAGTGTTCCTGACAGGGACATTTGTTGTCACTGATTGTATTTAGAGAAAATTGTGACTTCTTCAAGGTGGCATGAAAAATTTACTTATTTTGAAAACCTGATTATTTTTGTTTGCGGGTTGTATTTGGAAATTAAATAACAAAGAACAGGAAATTATCAAATCTCAAGTAAAAGCATTTCATACTTAGCAACTTATATTATTTTAAGAGAATTTGTATTTTCTATCTTCAAAATCTGCCTGCTTTATATTTTCATTTCTTGGATCTATTTAACTGTTATATGTGCAAAATATACATAATGTGTTTGTGTATTATTTATTTACTCATTCAAATTTTAAGGCTTTCAGCCCTGATGGACGTTGGTTAATAAGTGCTTCGATGGATTGCTCAATTAGAACTTGGGACCTTCCATCTGGATGGTGAGTTTAGTTTAAATAAGTCTATCAAAGATTTCTCCGCATTGTTTTTATATGTGACTTTTAAGTACAGTTAACAAGTTATGTGCTTTGTTGTTGTTATTCATTTTTTAAATTGAGATTCTGTGGTTTGGATTTTAATACTATCAATAATGTATTTTCATACGGCTATGTGCTTTTGGAATATGAATATATTGGGGCATTTTTGATCCTGATTATTTTATCCTTGAAGTGTTTTGATCTCCTCAGCAGGGAGTAGTGCCATAAAAAATGATAAATAAAGAAAAGAGAATGGGTCTTGGGTTTTCTGTTCCTGTAAAATTAAGATAAAAAAAAAAACCTTAAAAAGCTTAGTTTGCATTTTACATACATCTACATACACACACTCACTCACACTCTCTCCCTCCCTCCCTCCCTCACCCTCTCCCCCTCCCTCCCTCCCTCACCCTCTCCCTCTCCCTCTCCCTCTCCCTCCTTCCCTCCCTCCCTCCACAATAGAACTCAGACTTTAACTACAAGCTTTTTTATTTTGTGTTTGTAACTTTTTCTTTTTTGGGGGGTGGGGAGGAGGAGGGTGACCTAATGACTTAGTTTTGAACCACACCCAACTATGCTCAGGGATCACTCATGCTCTGGGGATCATATTGATTGAACCCAGGTTGGCTACACGCAGGGCAAGCACCTTACCTACTGTACTCTCTCTGGCCCCTGTAACTTTTCTCACTAGTTATTATATATTGCAATTAGTTAAAAGATCAATACCCTAGCTGTCCTTTGCATTTGCTATAGTTAAAAGATCAATACCCTAGCTTTCCTTTGCATTTGCTACATATTTTCTGTCTCTAACATAATTCTTGATTAATGATATGTTAGAAACTTTGTTTATAAAACCCAAAAATGTTCAGAAATTTGTTTCATGGATTGAAACTCACTAGTGAAACAATACTAGTGAGACAAAACATTTCCCCTTTTTTTTTTTTCTTTTCCCTCCCGTTGATCGTCGATTTGCTCGAGCGGGCCCAGTAACGTCTCCATTGGAGACTTTGTTGTTACATTTAATTCCACTAAATAGTTACATTTAATTCCACTAAATAGTTACATTTAATTCCACTAAATAGTTGGGACAGTAGAGACCTACACGGAGGAGGTGGAGTGTGTATGTCAATTTTGTTTTAAAAATACAACAGCAGAAGTAATTCAAAGTCACAGCACTTCACATAGAATTGCGTAGGTTGAGATGAAGGAGCTATGTAAATAATCAGCACATCTAATTAATATAAAGCTTAGTACACACAGCTGGGTGAGAAAAGAAAGAAGGTGAAGATTTCAGTCCTCTGAAATAGTCCCAAATTAATCTCTGGCCTATAAACTTCCTTCTCTTTCTTAGGAATTGAGTAAGCTCATACCTGAAAGCATTTGACCTTTAGAAAGGAAAAACCCAGATGGCCTCATTTCCTTCAAGGGTAGCATAGGAATGGGCACACCTACATACATACCCAGAAAGAGTACCACTAGGAGGCTCAGCTGTCACCAGGTCTGCAGGTGTGCCTCAGCCAAAACTGTTAAGCCAAATGACTTGTGAGTTAGTTGACCGTGTCCTTTGTAACTTAGAACAAAAGTTGGTTCTTCTTGAAAAGATGCCATTAGAGGGTTTGGAGAAATAGTATAGCAGGTAAGGCACTTGCCTTGCACACTGCCACCCCGGGTTCTATCCCATGCCAGCACCCATTCTATATGTCCCCTGAACCCACCAGGAGTAAGCCTTGAGCATCACTGGTGTGACTCTAAAATAAAAAGAGAAAAAGAAAGATACAATTAGAGATACTGGTAGTCTGTTGCTCTTTTAGGCATTTTCAATATGCTGAAAATGAGTATTTTCATTTGAATCATATTTTAGTAGGAAGGTTATTAAGTAATGAGTTGGCAATATGCCCTTTTTTGTTTTCCATGTTAGTAGTTTTATTTCATGTTAGGTGGGAGAGATGGGTTATTGTTTAGTAATACTAAATTGGAAAAATATTTTTAAAAGTGTTTAAGTTTTCTATTTGGAATGGAAGAAAGAATTAGGATCTGAAAGTAGCATTCAAAGCCAACTTTTGACTCAGCATGACCCTTTTTGCTGAACTTCTTATTTCAGTGCAAAGTTGGTTAGATTTAAGTCTGGTATGTTTTTATTTTTTCTGTGAATACTGGGACCGATTTAAGTGAGTACAGATAGAGGCACGAAGCTGGAAGAAATACAGAAATAAGCAGCAAGTTATATCAGGATTGTTAAGAGAAATACATTCTGTAAATTCACAAGGTAGATCACTTGATCACTTGACTTCCCGTTAATCGTCAGTTTGCTCGAGTGGGCGCCAATAACGTCTCCATTTGTCCCTGTCGCATGCTAGTGTAGCCCAATGGCGTCTGTTTGCTCTAGGAACACGCAGAGCCTCAAACCAATCGTTCATGATCTTGATGAAGAAGTTTGACCATCTGGTAGGTGGGCAGCCACGTGGTTTTTTGACATCCCGTGGAATCCAGTCAGTAACAGCTCTAGTCCAGCGGTCGTCTTTAAATCTCATTACGTGACCAGCCCATCTGAAAATCTCTTTATAAAGACAAAATCTATTCTGGATGAAGCTGTTTTTAATAAATAAAAACGTTAGTACTTTGTTCAGTTTGAAGTGGGACAAATGGCACCTTGCAAGGAAGGTCACACAGCCAAGGCCGCTGCCTCAGCGGCAGAGTCTGAGTGTCCCTGGGCACTCAGACCTGGGCATTTAATGCTGGTTTATTTTGGTTTGGGGGCCACACCCAGCTGTACTCAGGGTGTAATCCTGATTGGTAAAGATCTATTACTAGGTTCTGGAGTGATAGGACAGTGGGTAGGGTGTTTGCCTTGCACACATCTGACCTAAGTTCGATTCCCAGCATCCCATATGGTCCCCCAAGCACCTCCAGGAGTAACTCCTGAGTGCATGAACCGGGAGTAACCCCTGTACATCGCCGGGTGTGACCCCCCTCCCAAAAAAAAAAAGATCTATTACTATTCTTAGTCCCATTTTACAAAAAATTAAGAAATGACAGCTCAGGAAAACTGGATTGCCAAATTCATATGTGAGTGAGGGAAAAATAAGCACAGGACGAAAGAAAGAGAATTCCCACCAGTCGTGATGTCAGCCTTGCTTGGTTGTGTCATATGTTCTGAGGATGAATTGATTTTTCCTGATACAGAAAATAAGGAAATGACTTAACCATAGATAACTGCTGGACTTTTTGTGTTTTTACTCCCTTCATTTACTAATCCAAATTGGTATGTAACCTTTGGAGATTCCTAGTTCTTCCTTCAATAAGCAGTTTCATCATTCCTGCAGCATGTTAAATATTTAAGGAATGAATACACTCCTTATCTAGCTGAAAAATGAAACTGAGTAAATGGTTGGAAGCGGTGACGCAGAGGTAGGTCCAGCTGGCACTATGCCTATCGGAAACTGATTGCAGTGACAGACTGTTTCCTGGAAAGGGTTGTGAGTGCAGATGTGTTGATGTGTTTGTAGGAGTCCCAAAGAAGCAGAATTGAAGTTTTAAATCCCCTAATCCTTTGTTTTTGACATCCTCAGTGTCAATAATCTTTTTTACCTCAGTGATCTTTGTAGTTCAAGTTGAACTTTTGGGAATGAAGAAAATACAAATTAGGTAGTTTAATTGTTTTGTCTCACCCTCTAATTCCTGATATCTGAAGGAACATTTCATGAGAAAAAATAGAATAAATCATTGCTTTGCTTTTCTCCTCGAGTCACAGCCGTCCCATTTCTTTATTCACTGAGGATTTCTATATAAAATGATTCTATTTTGGGGCCAGAATGATAGTGTAGCAGGTAAGGTGCTTCCTTTGCGTGCTCTGACCTGGGTGTAATACCCAGTGTCCATGTGGGCCTCTAAGCAGTCAGAAGTGATTCCCTGAGCACAGAGCCAGGAGTAAGTCTTGAGCACTGACAGATATGGTCCAAATATCAAAAAGAGAAGTGATTCCATTCTTTTTTTTCCAAATTGATAACGGTATTGTGATTTACAATGTTGTTAATGATAGTTTCCCGTGTACATATTCCAGAACCACACCCATCCCCAGAGTCATTTCTTTGAAAAAAATTTCCTAGACAGTTTCTGAATTTGTTCAAAATTAAATCAGAAGTGACTTAACAAGTGTCAGGAGTACTGAAGGGAACATTAAAAGCTGACCTTCCTCATCAGGGATTTTGTTAATGTTCTATGAGGAAAAAAATTACGATTTACCTGGGACTTTCCATTTGTGGGATTAGCAGGAGCCTCTGGCAGTTAAATCAGGAATTAAGCTTGAGCACATATTCTTTATAAACTAACTCGGTGTAAGTACAACTGCTGTGCATGCGGAAAGCACCTTCCTCAATTTGCTGTTTTCATATAATGGGAGGACACTCTGCCCACACACAGCAGCTGTGGAAATCAGGTTGCACAATGAATCTGACAAGCACTGTACCAAGTAAAGTAAGTTTGCTCCAGAAGTAGATTGGCCTTTCCAAAGATGCTAAACCTTCCAGAAAGTTTCACCTCCCCCACACAAGGTCTTCGTAAGACCAAAGTTGCAGCATTCTAGGTTTGCTCTTGAGAGAGTGATGATGTTTCTGTGCTGAGTAGTTTGGGTTAGATGAATTAGCATTAATGATTTTTGCACTTGATTTACATTGCTAATTGATTCCTGAACAAATTGAGAAAGATTTGTATCATGGACAGGTCTCTGTCTCAGCTCACTTGGTGCTGCAGGGCCTGTGTCCCGTGAGTCATCAGTGAGAGATGCCTGGGCGCGGTTGCTGCCCAGCTGCATGTGTACTTCTGCTTTGAATGCATTTAAATGCGTGACTTTGCGTGAGTGTGTGGTGCATGAGAACATGGCCTGCTTGGGTACCAGTCCCTGCTTTCCACTTCAAGCAAGTTTTTAACTCATACTGGGTCTCAGGTTTTAACGTATATGGAAAGAGACTCTTTCATAGGACTGTCAGGATGAATGAGTAGGCTAACTGCTCAAGATACTTGGAGTCCTGTGAACATGCTCGTTGTGGTTACTTTTTCTTGACATGTTTTATTTCCTATAAATTGTAAACTTTAGTTATTTGGCAGTGCCCCCCCCTATAGTTAGTGAAAGTTTTATGATAGCTGTTGTTAAAGCCAGTACATTCAAAGTAGATCAGTGACAAAGTGTGTTTGTGCTCTTAGACTCTTAGTTTAAGAAGCTTCCCCTGGGCCAGAGATTAGCAGGTAGGGTGCTTGCTGTGCACGCAGCTGACTCAGGTTTGACCAGTCCCCAACACCCCATATGGTCCCTTGAATCCTACCAGGAGTGATCCTTGAGCATCAGGGATGCAGCACAAAAATAGAAACAAAAGGTGCTGGAGCCATAGCACAGCGGATAGGGCATTTGCCTTACATGCGGCTGACCTGGGTTCGATTCCTAGCATCCCATATCGTCCCCTGAGTGCAGAGCCAGGAGTAACTCCTAAGCATCACTGGGTGTGACCCAAAAAGAAAAAGAGAAAAAAAAGCAAAAGGTTTCCTTGAAGAATGTCTCCCTTCAGACTTCCTCTTTGCTCCTTAAATCTTCCTTGTTTTACTTGCTGCCTCATGATGTTTTACTATTCCTCCCTACTAGTAATTCTTTCTGATGGGAAGGCTTTTTGTTTTGTTTTGATTTTTGGAGGTCCGCATCCAGAGGAACTCAGGACTTACTCCTGACTCTGTGTTCAGTTCCACTCCTGGTGGGCTCTGGGGACCATATAGGATGCTTGATAGCAACCAGGGTCACCTGCATGCAAGGCAGGCACCTTAACCTGCTATTGCTCCACCCCCCAAACAGTGTTTGCTTGTTTTTGTTTTTGTTTTGTTTTTGTTTTTTTGCAGGGTGTTGAGGGGGAGGTGGTCATACTTGGAGATGCTCAGGGGTCACTCTTGGCTCTGCACTCAGGAATTAGTCCTGATGGTGCTCCAGGGACCATATGGAGTGCTGGGGATTTAACCCGGGTTGACCATGTGCAAGGCAAGTGCCCTCTCCACTGTAGCATCACTCTGGCCCTGATGGGAAGTCGTCCTGGGAACAAGAGGATTGTCACATCTGTTCCTAAGTCTGTAGCAGCTGCACCCGGTACTTACCCTGTTGTGTTCCCCTTTCCCTTCCCTTCAGAGCGCCATCACTGAAAAATTCTCTCTCCCAGTCACTGCAAACTCATGTCATCTGAGGCACTCCTTCAGTCTCCTTACCTGGGTGTGCTCACCATCCATCCCCCCTCACATTTTAACATGGCACTAGTTTCCATACACTACTCTATGACTTTCACTCAGTAGATTGAATTTCCATTAGTCTCATGTATATCACAATTACTTGCTTGAAAATCAGCTGAAGTTGCTGATTGCCATCCTTGTACTTTTATTTATCACCATCTTATTGTACTGTTGCTGATAGGTACAGTTCTTATTTGCACTCAAATTGCAGTAAAATAAAGGAATCAAATTTGTTTGGGGCTTGGGGACCATCAGGACCATCAGGACCTCTTAGTGCTCTGTCCTTGATAGTGAGGACCACTCCTGATGATGCTCAGGAACCATGTGGTGCTGGAACCATGTGCTCAGGTTCATAGTGAGGACCACTCCTGATGATGCTCAGGAACCATGTGGTGCTGGAACCATGTGCTCAGGTTCATAGTGAGGACCACTCCTGATGGTGCTCAGGAACCATGTGGTGCTGGAAATGCGAGTGCCAGCTTATAAGCCTTTGCTTCCTGGACTCTACAATACTCAGACTTACTTTAAATACATGACATTTCAACTTTGTCTACAGATTAGGTCAGCTTATCAGAATGGACCCAGGAAAGAGCATTTGCTCCTGTATGCACTTGACTGTTGAGCTTCTACTCCAGTGTACTGGTCTCTTTGCTTCTAGCATTCTCCTTATGAAGTTATTGTGGGGGGCACCAGGGATCTGACTCAGAGCGAGTCACAGTCCTGACATGTGTAATGCCCTTAGGTCGATCTTGAAACCCCCAAGCACAGGCAGGTACAGCTCTGCGGGAACTCTGAGTACAGCAGCTGGGTGCTTGCTGTGCATGTAGCCAGCCAGGTTCGATTCCCAGTACCTCAGAGGGTTCTCATACCTCATATGTTTATATGGTTCTTGAACCCTTCCAGGACTGATCTAGGTGCAGAGCCAGGAATGAGAAATAAAAACTACCAGCTGTGACCCAAAAACCAAAACAAACCTAGAGGCTGTTTTAATGTAGAAATCTTAAAGCTGTTAGTGATCCACTTTGTGACAAGGTTTTAAGAGAACCAGAATGTAAATATCTGCATCTCTTTTTCCTTGTTCTTTTAGTAAAAATATAACTTGTAAATTGCATTCCTTTTAATGCAGTTTTAATTTTTCTTTAACAGCCTTATAGACAGTTTTCTGGTAGATTCAGCTCCTCTCAATGTTACTATGTCTCCCACTGGAGACTTCCTGGCCACGTCCCACGTAGACCAACTTGGAATTTATTTGTGGTGAGTTCTCTGCTACAGTTTTGTTTTGGGTGAGAAGGTGGTGGAGGAGGAAGGTATTATTATTAAGCATAGTTGCTAACATTTTTTTAACCTATGAAAAGGAAATGTTATGTAGTTCACACAATGTATCTTCAGACTAATTCAAAATCTGCTTAATAATTTTCATTGTTCAGTGTGCATTTTAAAACTCATGACTGATTATTTATTTGTTACCATACTTGATTTTTATTTTCAGAAAAGGTAAATGGATTTAAAAAATATTAGAATCGGGCAATCCTTAGCACTTACTTATCTTTCCGACACCACCTCAATATATACTGTTTGACTTTACCTACTTATAAAACAGGAGTATGAATGAGCACATTGCCTACTGAGATTTATTATTATTTTGTAATTCTTTTTAACTGTGTAAATAAACTTAGTGTGGTCTTACAGTTCTAGTGATGAGTCTACAAGAGACTATGATCCCTTGAAATATGGTTTATCATCTGGTTTAGAAAAATTTGTTTCCTGAGCTCAAAGGTCTTATTGAGAAAGATAAAAGTTGATCTCTATTTATAAAATGTTGAGTTTATATTAAGATGCAGAATTCATTCCATTGTAGAATGGATATTGGCCCTGTCCACTTCAGTACCTAAAACAGAACATCTCCTGAAGAAGAATGACCAGGAGCCCTCAGCAGCCAGAGAACAGAGTTATGCTGATGAGTCTAGCACAGAAGATTCTTATTTCTGCTTTGCATCCCAGATTCTTAGTGTATGGGATTGATTAGGCTGCTTTGGGGCAAGTGTTTGCACCCTGACCCTTCCCAGGCTATAGTGCAGGGCCAGTACAGAGGCACGACCAGCTGCAGGCCATTGTCCATCACCCAGCAAGTCCAGCTGTGGAGCGGCTTGGAAGGTCCACTCTCTCTGATGTAGTTCCCCAAGTTCGTTCTTCCTTCACTATGGTTCCTTAAACACAGGTTGATACTTGTTGAAACAACTTTTACATGTTACTTTATGAAATTCTGTCTATGATGCAAATTTCCAATAAAAACTTTTTGTTTTATATTTTAAGTACTCCATTAATATTGCTGGTACATCAATTTTTTCCCCCTGAATAACAGATATGACCTAACAGCCATGTCTAAATAAATAGTATCTTTTTTTTTTTTTTAATAGTGAAACACCATGAGGTACAGTTGTAGACTTACAAATTTTTGTGCTTGGGTTTCAGTTATACAATGATCCAGTACCCATCCAACAGTGCCCGTTCTCCATCATTTACTTTTTTTTTTTTAATTTTTGTTAGGGAAACACCATGAGGTACAGTTGTAGAATTACAAATTTTTGTGCTTGGGTTTCAATTGTACAATGATCAAACACCCATCCCTCCACCAGTGCCCACTTTCCACCACCACGGGTCCCACTATCCCTCCCACCTCCCACCCCCCATCCCACCCTGCCTCTGTGGCAGGGTATTCCCTTTTTTTCTCTCTCTCCTTTAGGGTGTTGTGGTTTGCAAAAGAGGCATTGAGTGGCAATCATGTTCGGTCTATAGTCTACTTTCAGCATGCTTCTCCCATCCTGGGAGGATCCTGTCAACACCCTTTATTTGGTGCTCCTTTCTCTATCTGAACTCCCTTTTCCCCTAGCATGTGTGGCTGTCCTCCAAACCATGGAGCAAAACTCCTGGTACTAATCTCCTCCACTCTTGGGTGTTAGTCTCCTATAAATAGTATCTTTTTTCAAGATGTTTTCTTGTAAGTTTGGAGTCAGTAGCCACTCAGAATTCTGGTGATGATTGCTAATGAGTGAAGTCTTTCTGGAAAACCATCTCTAAGTCTTTACATTCCATTTGTTGTTTTGTTTCGCAGGTCCAATATTTCCCTATACTCTGTTGTCTCATTGAGGCCACTTCCTGCAGATTATGTTCCTTCAGTGGTGATGCTTCCTGGAACTTGTCAAACCCAAGGTAATAACAAAATCGTAAAATCTTTGAAGTGGAATTTTATAAGTTTATCATGAAGGATATTGTTACTGAAGGCCCAGTTTAATACATTCAGTCAGAAAGTATTTAAAGATATAGAGCATTTTGAAAGAACCAAAGGTAGGCAAAAAGATCATCTGCTAGTGCTATTAAATAGTTTTCCGGAGGAGAGATGCTTTGGGTCTTGTGATGTGACTTGTGATTCATATAAGAAAACAAATAAAAGGGATTAGGCTCAGAAGAGAGCAGCACATCGCAGAAATGCCTCCAGACCACAGATATTTAAAAATTTTAGAATTCCAGCAGTGTGTGACCACTTTTGCAGCTGCGTGACATCTCATACTATTCATGGCAAGCAATACCAAATAAATTACTTAACATCTGCCTAAGGGACAGGCTTGGGTAGTGGTGGGAAGTTTCAAAATGTAATGGTGGTGGGATTGATATAGAAATACTGAGAGTAAACAATTACTGTGAACAACTTTATGAAAAATTTTTTAAAATTTTGAAAATTTTTAAAAAAGTAATGCAGAGTTCATGCCTGCTTCAATCAGCTTAATCAGTGGCTAACTAAATAGCAGTACTCCTGCTATTTATTCAGTTAAAAAAAAAGAAGAAGAAGAAAGAAAGGGATTAGGAAGCAAACAGGAGTTTGTGAGTATATTCTGGGTGATTGTATTGGACATTCTCCTTTGCAACCGAATGGAGTGGATTGAATTGTGCTCCTATGCTATGGGTCTGACTATGCCTGGCTTTGTTTGGTTGAAGATGCGGACTTGCCAGAAGAGCCCAGCGAGCCAAGTGATGAGATGATAACATACGAGTCCCCAGAACAGTTGCATGAGCAGCTGGTGACTCTCTCTCTCCTCCCTGAGTCACGGTGGAAAAATCTTCTTAACCTTGATGTCATTAAGGTAAAGCTTTGATGTACTTCGCACACTCGAGAACCTCCTCCCCGAGCTGCCTCTGCAGCGAGAGGGCTTCAGGAGGAGCCATGGCGCCTACAGTGAGCACTGCTGCTCTGCACGTCTGCATAGAGACGCTCAGCATGCATCTGCATCAGCAGTAGCACAGAGCTCTTGAAATTGATGTTTTAGCACCTGTCACTGATGGGGGAGTGCCTCCCAGCAGCTCTCGACCAGCTGGCCACAGTCGATGTGCCACCTACCCCAAAGATACCAGCAGTACCCAGAGCACCCAGGCCCCATCTACTGGTACCTGGGAGGGAGAGCCAGGGCTCACCCTTGGACTGTTTTTCTGATCCCTGAAATAGGATGTTTTTAGTCCAGCCTAATAAACTACTTTTTAAACTTCCAAATCAAGAAAGAACCATACACTGTGCTATTCCTGTTGCTGGGCATTTAGGTGACACTTAACTTTCTTTCATTAAGCTTCAGTTACCCTCATCTGTCTCAATATACACACAGGGATAATGTCTGTTGTCAGCCACATTGTGACCGGTGTAAATCCGTTCAGGAGCACTCATGTGTCCAGATAAGCACCTTGGTGAGTGCTGCCTTTGGCTCACCCTTCATCCCACCCGTCACAGGCAGGGAGAGGGCTTTAGGCAGTGTGCCCAGAAGTAGCCATCAGATCAGTCGCTGAGCTCGGCTTGCTCTGCACACAACATGACTAGAAACCTGAGTGGGCAATCTTTCTGAGGGAATTGTGCTGAAACCTGTTTTTATTCCCTACTAAATTAAAGTCAGGAATTTTTTATTTATTTATCCTATGGGTAACTTTTCTACGTTTTCAGGCCCCTTGAAACTCCTCCAAAGCCTTTTTTGTTTGTGACGTTAGCAGGTGGGGTGGGGGGGTGCACAGAGACACTCCTCAATGGTGCTTCTGAGACCGTGTGCGGGAGCAAGGGGTTACTCCTAGCTTAGTTCCTAGAGGTTGCTCCCTAGGGGCTCAGGACTGTGGTGCTGGGATCAGATCAGGGACAGCCTCATGCAAAGCAAATGTCTTAGTTAACACCCTGTACCTGCTTGCCTCCTGCTTGACTGCCCCCTTTCAGAGTCAGGAATAGTTAAAGCAAGGCTGTGACTGTTATCTTTTGTTTTCCCTGTGACTCTTCTCTGCTGTCCTAAGGCAGGACTACTGTCATACTGCAGCTGGTGGCACTCAGTCTCTGTGCGGATAATGACTTCCGTGCCGTGCTTCCTTGAGGCTGCAGCTGACCAGGCTCTCCCAGAGCACAGTGACAGGACCCAGGAAGAGTAGCGTGCATCAGTGGGCAGCTGGTGTGGAGGCTGATCACAGGCTTCTGTGATTGTGCTCAGCCAAACACGGCCATGGGCATCCCTTGGTAGTTTGTTTCTGATAGAATTTCACTAATGTTTCAATACTTTATAAGCCAGGCTGGTATTCTCTTGCTTTTTAAAAACTGGAACAAAGAGAAAAGGAATGTAGCAAAACCTAGAAAAATGAAGACGTCCACAATTTTTTTTTTTGGAGAAAATGAGCATTTAAGTGAATTTTGATTCCTACTCCATTTGGGGAAAAAATAATCTTGAGGTAAAGAAAGTCAATTACTTTTTCTTAATGTCTCATCTAAATATTTATCTTTTTTGTTTCTGTGTCTGGCCCTGCGGCAAGACTCAAGACCTAGTCCCAGCAAAGTGGTTGGGGATTATCCCCACAATGCTTGCTCCTAAATTCCCAGGCTGCTTCATTCCAGCTTGAGAACTGTCTGCCCAGCCCCTTTATCTGTTCTGTACTCTGTAACCTTCCTTTTCCTGTCAGCAAGAGCTCTAGGAAATCCAATTTAAGGATGTTTGTCGTATTTATCAGGTGGAATTTAATTTTAATCTTAAAATGTTTAATAACCTTTTTTTAATTAGACTTTGTGTTTTAGTACTAGATTTTAGTACTAGTACTAGATTTTAGTACTAGAAACTATTGACACCATATGTGCTTACTATTTTTTTCTGTCCTTCCTCATTTTCTGCTAGAAAAAGAATAAACCAAAGGAACCTCCCAAAGTGCCCAAATCGGCCCCATTTTTTATTCCAACAGTTCCTGGCCTTATACCCAGATTTGCTGGACCTGAGCCCAGCCATGATCCCCAGCAGGTAAGAGTCAGACTGGAGTGTTCTGAGTATGTGGAGGGTGGGGGGTGGGGAGGTGTTTGGGTTGCACATTTGCAGGTCTTACCCATGACCCAGCTGTGCAGATATATAACCACAATAATAAGAGCTTTAAATTATAAATACACATCTTTGTTATGCTTGGTTTTTTGATTAATGTGTATTTGTTTTTGTTTAAGTCTAAAGTGGTAAGCCTTGGCGTTTTGGCTCAGAAATCAGATTTCTGCCTGAAACTTGAAGAAGGCATGGAAAATAATAAACGTAAGTTAATTATTGTGAGTTTCAAAAGAAGGCGCATGAGGACACATGTTCGGTGGCCGAGAGCTGCCTCCCAAGGCCAGCCCATGGCGAGGGATGAAGGATGAGGGGAACGAGAAGCAGGGCCCCAAGCTGGTGGTAGACAGTTTATTTATCTCTCCTCCCCAACATAGTCTGAGCTCTCCCTTTACAGCACAATGATGGTCGTAGTTTTGGTTATAGTCCCAAGTCATCATAATTCCATCATCCTAGTCTCCTCATAGACCTCAAAGTTCTCTCCTAGTCTAGTTCCCTGTTTCCCCTTATAGCATAGTTATATAGCAGTCATGAAGGGTGGGGTACACATAGGTGGGGTTGAATGCTGTCATAACAAACAGAGGTAAAGCCACTCCTAGGAGATTAATTTAAGGACAAAATCTCATCTGAGGGTTCAGCTCTCCAGATTACTGGGATATCTGCTCAAGGGTGGGACTCCATCCAGGGTGTGTTGCTTTCTCCTTTCCTCAGTAATTCATATAAACAGTCATAGTAAATTTACTTCTTAAAATATTTCTAGTCATTTTTTATGAACACAGAGATATATTAAGCTTAAAGCTTGCCTCTTCTTGGATCATCTCACTATATATTCCAGACCTCAGTCCTCGGGCCAGGTTAGTCTTTCATAACCTCAGCAGTGTTCTTATTCAGTTACTTCTGGGTCATGACAGAGTTGGTCCTATGACTGTGCTCTTAACTTACTATACTTATGGTGCTTATCTTGTCTCCTTTCGATGCCAGGATAAAAAAACTTAAAGCTTGACCTGGGTCCATCCAGTCCCTTCATTGGGACCCTCCTTTTGCAGTGCTAGAAGTAAGGGCAGCTGAGGCTTAAGACAAGTAAATATGCCCAGGAGTAAATATTATTTTGGAGTCAATTAATTTCCATGTTACAAAGCATAGCATGAACTGTCTTCCTGTGTCTATACAAAAAGGACATTGCTAAACCATGCAAGTGACATAAAGGAAAGAGAAAAGCAATATAGGATTGTTAGTGCCTGATGGAATTGAGTGTGCCTCAGGTACACTGCTGTGGGAGTAACTCGATAAGCCTAAGCTCCCTTTGGGAGGAGCAAGAACAACCCATTGTTATCCAACAAATTATAAAATATTTTGACAAATAATCAGTTTGTTTATATAAGGACAAATCAAAATATTAGCAGATTTCTTCTAATAGGATATAAATTTTGGTTTTATCCTAAACAGTTTTTAGACTTTTTGTTACTTTAAATTATTGGCACTAGGGCTGGATCGATAGCATAGCGGGTAGGTTGTTTGCCTTGCACGTGGCCTACCCGGGGTTCAATAACCAGCATTCCATATGGTCCCCTGAGCACTGCCAGGAGTAATTCCTGAGTGCAGATCCAGGAATAACCCCTGTGCATTTCTGGGTGTGCCCCTGTAGTACTGTCATCCTGTTGTTTATTGATTTGCTTGAGCAGGCACCAGTAACATGTCCATTGTGAGACTCTTTGTTACTGTTTTTGGCATATCGAATTTGCCACGAGTAGCTTGCCAGGCTCTGTTGTGTGGGTGGGATGCTCTCAGTAGCTTGCCAGGCTCTCCAAGAGGGACAGAGGAATCGAACCTGGGTCAGCAGTGTGCAAGGCAAATGCCCTTGCTCGAGCCCCGGGTGTGACCCAAAAAAGGGAAAAAGAAAATTATTGGCACTAAACTTATGTGATACTATAGAACCTACTGAGAATATCTTACACTTTTTGAAAGACAAATTTTCTGGATTTTTTTTTTTTGACTGCTGTTTTAATACAATAGGGACTTGGGCCTCAGGAACATTCAGCTATCCCCAGATTATCACATAAACTGCCTAATTTCCCATTTGTTTTTTGAATAGGTTAATATATTTGAAATTCTATTTGTTTTTTTTTTCTATTTTAGTTTTGAAGATCGTGTGGAACATCTTTATACATACATTATATATATAGCACAGCAGTAGGGCATTTACCTTGTGCGCAGCCAGCCTGGCTGAGCTGGGTTCGATTCCTCTGCCCCTCTCGGAGAGCCTGGCAAGCTACTGAGAGTATTCAATATGCCAAACACAGCAACAAGAAGTCTCATAATGGAGATGTTACTGGGCCCGCTCGAGCAAATATATACATATATATATACATATAAAATGTATGTACTTTTTATTTATTTTTTATCGTGTCTTTTTTCTGGAGGTATCACAGTGCATAAGCGTGTTTATCAGCTTGTAGCATCACTGTGCTCACTGACCATCTTGTGTCAGCCCCGCTTTCTGCCACTTTCGGTTCCCATCTCATCCCTGTACCCCCACAGACCGACTCCCAGCTCCAAGGCTTGGTCCTGTTGGCAGAATCTCACTGTTAGTTTCTGATAACCATTACCTGTTCCCTTGCGTGTTTCTTCCTGCTCCACACTCTGCGTATGAGCCTGGAACCTGTGAGAACCAGGCTGTTCAAATGAGAGTGACCCCAGGCACAGCTGGCAATGGTGACGTTGCTTGCTGCCTTCCCCTTTGATGTTGGCTGCCTGGGGCTGGTAGAGTGGGTGGGCGTGGGGCTCTTTGTCTCCCCAGGCCCCAGTCCCTGCCTTGCGTCCTGCTGGCTCTCTTCAGCCCCCTGCTGACTCCCAGTAGCCACGCAGTTCTCTCCTGAACCTGCTATTCCTGGGCACAGAGCCCTGCTGGCCGCCATCTGGGCTGCTGGCCCTTCTGCCCACACCACACTCCTTGCCCACAGCACTGGCTCTCCAAGAGGGCTGCTGGACAAACCTGCTCAATGCCCACCAGATTCTAATTCTGTTTTTAGCTGTGTTTTCTTGTTTTGGAGCCCCAGGTACTTGCTCTCTATCCACTCCTTTTTCTGCCATCATCTCTGACATAGCATATGGTCCCCTGAGCACCACTAGGTGTGGAAACCCCTCCCCCCATTCAAAAATAAAGGAAAAAAATTACAGCCACAGAAGGAATTCTCTGTGTAATGAAGATAAGGAATGAAAACTGATCTCCTTAGTGAGGTGCTTGTAGCTAATAACTGTATTCTTTCTAACACTACACAGATGAAGCCGCTGTTAGCCTTTTGAAAGAATTAGGCCCCTCAGGAATCGAGACTGAGCTGCGAGGCCTGGCTCCCGACTGTGGTGGTTCTGTGGCTGCCATGCAGAGCTTCTTCAGGATGATCGGGGTGATGCTGGCCAGCAAGCGGGACTTTGAGTTAGCTCAGGCATATCTCGCGCTGTTTCTAAAGGTACGACTCTTAAGACCCACCCTTTCCTTTTTTTCCTGCAACAACCTGTGTGCATAGGCAGTGTTCCGTCTCCTCTGTCCAACATGATGGCCAGGTGCTACTAATGGCTGGGAACCGAGAATCCTGCTCATAAGTGTCTGAGCGACTGAGTCTCTAACATCGAGGCATTCCGTTTCAATGGTCCCTGTGCCTGGTGACAGCCATATTAGACCAAAGCAAGCAGAGCTTCACTTTGTAGTCTTTTTTTTTTTAGATCAACACAGCATAGACTTTTTTACTTGATAAAGAATATCATATATTCTGATAGTTTTTCTGTCGTTATAAAGAGGAAGTTTGGGGGCTAGAGTGATAGCACAGTGGGTAGGGCGTTTACCTTGCACGCGGCCAACCCGGGTTCAAATCCCAGCATCCCATATGGTCTCCTGAGCACTGCCAGGAGTAATTCCTGAGTGCAGAGCCAGGAGCAACTCCTGTGCATTGCTGAGTGTGACCCAAAAAGAAAAAAAAAGCGGAAGCTTGGCTTTATTGTTTTGTTTTGCAGAAATGAAAGGATTTACCATTGTTTTGGTTGAGGGTTTTAAGTATTTTAGCACTCACGATCACCATCATACTGTTGTTCATCGATTGCCTCGAGCAGGCACCAGTAACAGCTCCTTTGTCCTAGCCATGAGATTTTAAAGTGCCATATTCAAGGCTCTTTCAGGGCTAGGAGAATGAGACCCATCATTGTTACTGGTATTTGGCATATTGGGTACACCACAGGGAGTTTGCCAGACTCTGCCGTGTGGGCAGGTTACATTCGGTAGCCTGCCAGGTTGTCCAAAAGTAAGAATGAGATAATAAGATGCATTTGCGACCACGCGCTTCTGGGAGCTGGAAGCTCTAATGGTTGATTTAATGACTAATAAAATGAAGGTGCTGGTTTTTGGTGTTATTTAAGATGTTTCTTATCTATAGTTCCTGGGGCGTTACTCAAGTAACTCAAAGTTCTCTTACTCTTACTCTTAAAATAATATATCGGGGCAGAGAGATAGCACAGCAGATACAGTGCTTACCTTGTACAAGGCTCACCCGGGTTTGATCCTTATGCGCAGAGCCAGGAGTAAGCCCAAAACAAAAATTAAAATTAAAATTAGTTCATAAAGTTGATAATTTGATGATAGCATGTAAGGTGAAAAAAAAATCACAGGTTGTTTTCTATCCTTTCTCAGATTTATAAGAGTTCCTTAATATAAATTTAATTTTTCATTTCTAAATTTTTGATTTGGGACCACAGTCAGCTGTGCTCAGGGTTTACTTAGTCTTGGCTTTGTGCTCAGGGTTCACTCTTGGCTATTTTGAGGGGCCTTGTGGGGGTGTAGGGGACTGAATATGGGTTGACCACAAGCAAAGCTAGAACCTTACCTTTGTACTATCTCTCAGGCCTCTAAATTTACTTAAATTTTTAGAAGACAGAGGGCTAATTTGCTATTTATTACCAGTGGGTGATTGGTAATAAGAAAAAGCTTAAAGAGCACAAAAATATGCTATGTCTTTAGAAGAAGGGCCTTGTTTCTGTCTGATTCAGGACTGCCTTAAGGAAGAGAAGTACGCAGAAGTTCAGTCACAAAGGTTGATGGAGATGGTGATAAATTAGCACAAAAACTCAGTTATCTTCTTAAGTTCCTTGGTAAGAACATTGAATTCGGAACAGACAGAACTTTATATATTATTATCCATTTTTTCCTTTTCAGTTACACCTTAAAGTGCTTCCTTCAGAGCCTGTACTTCTAGAAGAAATGACAAAGTTGTCATCACAGGTGGAAGAAAACTGGGTCCATTTACAATCACTCTTCAATCAAAGCATGTGTATTTTAAATTACATAAAAAGCGCTTTACTATAAAGATTAACTTAAGAGATTAAATAAATGTTTTTATTAAAAGATAACAGTTTAACTCATGTCTTATTTTTCAAGTTCTTAATGTGAAAAGAAAATAATTGGTAGCTCTACTGACTGAATTATTGACTTGAAATGTTGAATCTTTTGGGGATAAAACTATGCCCCTCCCTACTCTTGTTTTAAAGAATTAGACTACTCAAATCATCTGTTTTCTGAGTACCTTGCTATGCCTTGTGAGAAGTGGTCATCACCAGCTCACATTTGAATACTGTATACTGAAGGGGACTTGCATGAGCCACTGTTGGATCAAAGAGAAAATGCTTCCTAGCTAGAGAGACTGCTTCCTGGCATGCAATGCACGGTTGCGCTTCCTTGGCCAAGTCCCTGGGCCACAGGACTGCAGCCTGCACTGCAAGGCCAGAGCTGTGGAGCAGGACTCTGAGCCTCTGGCATGCCTTGTTACTTCCTAGGAGCCTCTCACTGTTCTAAAATCTATTGCAAAATCAGCTAGCTCTGGGAATTTCTCTTTTCTCGTGATGATTCACTGTCACTGTTCTCCTGTTTTTCATTGAGTGGACCCAGTAACATCTCCATTGTGAGACTTTGTTACTATGTTTGGCATATCAAATATATCACAGGTAGCTTGCCAGGCTTTGCCGAGGGGGCAAAATACTCTCAGTAGCTTATGGGGCTCTCCAAGAGGGACAGAGAAATTGAACTTGGGTCGGCTGGGTCGACTGCATGCAAGGGAAACGCCCTACCCGATGTGCTATCACTCCAGCCCAACTTTCAGTGTATTCATTCAAAACTCAAGTGTCATTCTTAAAATGCAGCTTATAGTTAAACGCCAGTAGCATTCTCACTGGGATGAGGTTTCTGAAACTAACCTCCCAGACAGCTGTCTACACAAGGATGTGATTAAATAATGGACATTCAATAGTGAAGGGTTCTTCTTTGTTGTGGGGGAGGAGATTTTGTTGTGGGCCTGAGCAGCAGTGCTCAGAGCTTGTTCCTGACAGCACTCAGGGATCACTTCTGGGGGCCTCAGGATCATATGGGATGCCAGGAACTGAGCCCTCATTCATGTATTATCTTCATCCTCACTGAGACTGTTACTTTGTAAAATGTTATTCCGAATGGTTGGTGCTGCAGTGAGCAGGGCTCCACACAATGTTGCTCATGGCTGGTGTGCTACCACACCCCCTGTGGTGCTCAAGTGCTGGCCCACAGCTGTGTGGGCTCCCTCAGTGCTCACCTTTCCTTCCCTGGGTGTGGCACAGTCCTGCTTGTGGCACTAGCACATTTTCAGTCTCCTGCCTGCCTCTCCAGCATCATCAGTGTAATCAACCCAGAATGGGTTTTGCAGTGTCACCAGAAATCACCTGTGGCACCAGGTTCAGAGAGAGCAGAGCTGCTAGGATTGCACTGGGTGTGTGTGTATTACTCGGGATTGAATTCATGACCGTAAGCTTAAAAACCTCTGGGCTAGTCCAGCCAGAAAGGGCATAGCCGTGTATCCAAAACAGATTCAATGGAACTGGAAACGACATCTCAGCTGCAGCCACCGAACTTTATAATGTACCTGTCCAGTCATCGACAGACTGGGGGTGGGGGCAAGGAGAAGATTGGGAGGGAATCGAGGAACACTGGTGGAGGGATTGGTGTTGAATTATTGTACATATGCCTAAACCACAACTCTCAGTAACTCGGTAAATCATGGATCTTTAATAAAATAATTTTTAAGTGTTTCTGTTCAGTGGTATAAGGTAGAAGTAGTAAACTGCCCAGTGAAAATAAGACAACTGAGTTTTGTTTTTATTTTTTAAAGCTATATAATAAGGCCACTGACTGCCTTATTATTAGTAATGACTTCATTTTTAACTTTGAAACTATTGCCTATACTATATTCTAAGGATACAATTCACTACTTTCCATGTAAAGACTGCAAATAACTGAAAGTTCTAAGCTGAAACTAACTTTAATCTCATTATTTTTTTTTCTTAAAGAATACAGAAATGAATATTCTGTTTTAAGGTCATACCTGACAATGCTCAGGGGTTACTTCTGGCTCTGTTCGCAGAAGTCATTTCCTGGCAGTGCTCCAGGGCCCATATAGGATGCCGGGGATTCTGTTAAATGTACAATAGCATTGCTTTGTCAGGTAATCTCCCAGAATCTTCCCTGTGTGTCTGCCACATATAGGGACAGCTCTGGATAATCCCAAATATTAACCTGGGAGTTATTTATAGATAAATAACTAAAGAAATGCAAACCTGTCAATTCTGCATACTGGTCTCAATTATTTAGGGTTTTTTTAATTGTATACTATTTATTAAAAATGTGGTTTGCATAGTTGTTTATTATAGTTGTTTCAGACATACAATGTTCCAGCTCCAGTCCTACCACCAGTGTGATGTTCTTCCACCACTGATCCCGTTTCCCAAGCACCCAGAACACCTGGAACACCTGCTCCTTTGGCAGGCACAAATTATTTTCTATTGCCCATTACAACAAAATGGCAAATGGGATTATCAAAAAATAGCTAAATGAAAAATTTGTGAAAATTGTTATATCTCACAATAGAACATTGAGGGTTTACAGAGCTGTTTGTTGCTAATTGAGCCTTCCATGTTACTGTTTTGTAATTATGGAGCTCAGTGGGCTTCTATGCTGCTTTCCCATCTAAATTACTGTGCACTATCAGTGTGAAGATTGGAGATGTTGTACAGCCACTTTGCAGTCGTGACTGCAGGAGCTCCTCGTCACCCCTCCAGCCCCCAGAGTGGCCTGCAGTGCAGTTCATCGCTGAGGCCTAGCGTGTGATGGTGCTCTGGTGCTGTGGTGTGGGGAGCATCGTGACCACTCTGTAGTGCTCAGGAACCTCCAGTACTCAGACAGGACCGAGTGCGCTAAAGGCAAGGCATGCCGCTTACTCCGAGCACAATCTCTGGCCCCAGAGTAGAGTGATTTTAAGATACTTAAGTTGACTTCCAGAATTGCTATTATCAATTTAGTTTTTCCTCAGCAATAAAAGTTTCTGCTTCCCATAACATTAAGATCGTGATATAATGTTTAATAGATAAAGGGTTATTTTATTATTTTGATTAAAAAAACACCCCTGATAGTCCTGAGTATATGCACGATATCATGTTTTAGATCATTTTTACACTGAGTAAACTGCCTTTCCCCAACACTGCTTACCATTGCATCAAATGATTTATCTTTAGCCCTTGAATAACTAGTTTTAATATAATTTTAGTATAACTTAGATAATGTGTTTCAGGGGGGCATGTCAGGTGGTCCTGAAGGATTTAATTTGGCACAGGACTCAAGGGGCCATATACAATGCCAAGAAATTAATTGAGGTCAGCTGCATGCAAGGCAAGCACCTTCACCCTGCACTCTCTGAGCCTTTGTATTTTTTTCTTTTCTTTTTTTTTCATTTATTTAATTAGTGAAACACCATGACGTACAGTTGTAGATTTACATATTTTTGTGTTTGGGTTTCAGTTATACAATGATCAAGTACCCATCCCTCCACCAGTGCCCATTCACCACCACCAATGAACCCAGTAGCCATTCCACCCCCTCACCCCACCCCCATCCTGCTCCATGTCTATGTCAGGGCATCCCCTTTTGCTCTCTCTTTCCTTTAGGGTGCTGTGGTTTGCAATAGAGGTATTAAGTGACCATCCTGTTCAGTCTATAATCTACTTTCAGCACGCGTCTCACATCCCGAGCGGGTCCTCCAAAAACCCTTTACTTGGTGCTCTCTTCTCTATCTGAGCTATGTTTTCCCCCAAAGTGTGCTGCCAGCTGACAAGCCATGGAACAGAACTCCTGGTACTTTTCTCAACTATTCTTGGGTGGTCATCTCCCATTCTGTTACTTTATATTCCCCAGGTGAGTACAGTCTTTCTATGTATGTCCCTCTCTTTCTGGCTGATTTTATGTAGCATGCTACTTTACATGTAGATCCACTTGTTTGCAAATTTCATGACTTCACCTTTATAACTGCTCCATAGTGTAGATGTGCCAGAGTTTCTTTAACCAGTCATCTGTTCTCAGGAACTCGGGTTTATTCCAGATTTTGGCTATTGTGAACAGTGCAGCAATGAACAAAGTACAGATGTCATTTCTACTATACTGTTTTGCCTCTCTGTGATATATTCCCAGGAGTGCTATTGCTGGGTCAAATGGGAGCTCAATTTCTAATTTTTTGAGAATCGTTCATACTGTTTTCCAAAAGGGCTGAACCAGTTGGCATTCCCACCAGCAGTGAAGGAGGATCCCTTTGTCGCCACATCCGTGCCAGTGGGCCAGTCTCTGTGGTGTGAGATGATATCTCATTGTTGTTTTGATCTGCATCTCCCTGATGATTAGTGATTTAGAGCATTTTCTCATGTGCCTTTTAGCCATTCGCATTTCTTCTTTGAGAAAGTTTCTGTTCATTTTGTCACCCCATTTTTTGATGGGTTGGATGTTTTCTTCTTGAGGAGTTCAACCAGTGCTTTGTATATCCTTGATATCAACCCCTATCGGATAGGTATTGGGTGAATATCCTTTCCATTCTGTAGATTGTCTTTGTATTTTGGTCCCTGTTTCTTTTGAGGTTCAGAAGCTTCTCAGTTTAATATAGTCCCATTTATTTATCTCTGTTTCCTCTTGGTTGGTCAGTGGCATGTCATTTTTTTTGTTTGTTTTTGTTTTTTTTCTTTTGTGTATTACTATGTTAATACATTCTTTTTTTTTTTTTAATAGTGAGAGACCATGAGGTACAGTTGTAGACCTACACATTTTTGTGCTTGGGTTTCAGTTATACAATGATCAAACACCCATCCCTCCACCAGTGCGCATTTCCCACCACCACGGATCCCAGCATCCCCTCCCCCCCAGCCCCCATCCCACCCTGCCTCTGTGGCAGGGCATTTCCCTCTCTCTCCTTTTGAGTGCCGTGGTCTGCAAAAGAGGCATTGAGTGGCAATCATGCTTGGTCGACAGTCTACCCTCAGCATGCTCTCCCATCGTGGGCGGATCCTCCCAACAC